ATATATGCAAATACATTGCATTACGAAAGAAGTGAATGTATAATTCATATATCTACATGTAGGAGTATTTACATGGAGTATTCTTACCGACGATTCTTAAAAACATTTATAATAATACTACAGAATAAAGCGAGTTTTGGACGTGGTTGGATTCCTCAGAGAATAGAGTAGAATGTGTGAAGACCAGTTCTGGTGTCCCTCGCCAAGACACGGATGGGACATTGGTAAACTGACTCCTTGCGTACGGCTCAATCAAGATATATAAATTCTTTAAGTGCTAACCATAGGAGATATTCCAGTCATTCTCGTGTTGACATACTCTTCGACTGATGACGATATGGTACGCCAAGTTAGTAATTTCGAAACAAAACCATTGATTTTTTTTAAGCTTCTAATTTAGTTGTTTTTTTCTCTTCAGATTGTTGGCGACTATTTCATCGTGGCGCCGATACACAAAGCAGCTAGCGTCCTCTCTCGACACAACCTCACCGTCTTCGTCTACAACTACGAGTACAAATCCGTCTTCGACAAATGGCAAGGTACAGACCCATACAGAACAACAGCCGTTGTTCCTGTCTCTCTTGCATGTTAGAAATGTATTACTACCCAGTGTCACGTAGTCACCCGAACTGTGTACATAAGGGGACTTAACCCGTTCTATATGCAGCAAGTACATCGGCCGGGCATTTCCCTGTGTAAAACTGAATAGGGATACGTTAAAACCACTCTATATATGTTTACACCAATACGAAACCAGGAACATATGGGAACTGCTTTGAGAATCGTAACACAAATAAGCCGGAGGGTAAAGACCCGTCTTTTGTTGGGATTACCTGAGGGTAAGCCAGAACGTTCTTGTAGGTATAGTCTCATTTGAAGTGATGTTGAAACAGTTACGTGGAGGAGTTTATGGGTGGGTCATGTGCTGCTTTCAGCATCTAGTCAGGACAAAGAGCAGGGCGTCAGGCATTGTCCATGATTCCACGTTCTATGTAAGGAGCACTGTGAAACAATCAGTTTCCACTCACTTTCTGGTAGAGGCAGACATCAACATTGTGTTATTTTCGTAAATCCACACGTTCTTGTATAAGCAAAGATTTCCACCCTGTGGTATAAGCGTAGATTTACACCATGTGGTATAAGCGTAGATTTACACCATGTGGTATAAGCGTAGATTTACACCTTGTGGTATAAGCGTAGATTTACACCGTGTAGTATAAGCGTAGATTTACACCTTGTGGTATAAGCGTAGATTTACACCGTGTGGTATAAGCGTAGATTTACACCGTGTAGTATAAGCGTAGATTTAAATACCCTGTAGTATAAGCGTAGATTTACACCCAGCGTGGTATAAGCGTAGATTTACACCTTGTAGTATAAACGTAGATTTACACCGTATAGTATAAGCGTAGATTTACACCATGCGGTAATAAGCGTAGATTTACACCTAATTTACGTGGCGTAGATTTTACACCTTGTGGTATAACGTAGATTTACACCTCGTGGTATAAGCGTAGATTAACACCTGGTATAAGCCCACAGCATAGTGAGTGAGTGACTTTAGTTTTACGCCGCACTCAGCAATATTCCAGCTATATGGCGGCGGTCTGTAAATAATCGAGTCTGGACCAGACAATCCAGTGATCAACAGCATGAGCATCGATCTGCGCAATTGGGAACCGATGACATGTGTCAACCAAGTCAGTGAGCCTGACCACCCGATCCCGTTAGTCGCCTCTTACCACAAGCATAGTCGCCTTTTGTGGCAAGCATGGGTTGTTGAAGACACAGCATAGACCTACTCGTATGTGGTGGAGGGTAGATGCACACCTGGTATAAGCATGTAGCATATAGATCCACTTAGTCGTGGTTATAAGCGTATAACGATATCTTCTGTGTATAGCAATTAACGCAGATCTACTCGTTGTATATGCCTTTGCTAATAATTATTGATTATGGTGATATCTTATTACGTAATGATTAATAATTTTTCTTGTAACATATAATCAGTTTATGATATTAACATACACCCTTTGTTATGTTTTTTCTTATTAATATGGTTCTTTTAAGATGCATATTTATTTTGTAATCTTTTGTTTTGTGATTGTACTTTGTTTCGTTGCCATTTTATGACCTTTGAGTTTCACGTTTTCTTAATCTCCAATATTGTCATAGCTGCATATTCAACAGGTGTGATCCATGGCGCTGAGCTGTTCTACCTGTCAGGATACCCCCTCGTAAAGCACCCGAACTTCCGGTATGACGAGTCCGACAAGACAATGGCAAGGATGCTTCTGATGTTTTGGGCCAACTTTGTCAAAAATGGGTGAGAACTTTAAACCAACTCTAAGTGGCAACACGTTATCGTTAGATTTATACGATTACCCTGTCTTAGAGGACCTTTTGCCACTCATCTTTGCCTCCCTTACCAAGATTAGATGATCGTCTGCTCTAATCCCGGCTTAGGACGAAAACAGTACAACTGCTCTTCTCACCGATATATGTTCTGGTTCTTATGGCTTTGGAGCATGACTCGTCCTCTAGGTGTTTCTGCAAGTTAACTGGTACCTTTATTCGGAGAAAATTCCATGCACACATGACATCGAGCAGATGAAATATTTTGCGCTTAATTTAAAGTAGGCTACTCTAGGTGGGCATCGTGTGAATGGAAATGCTGCTGAAATTGCATCAGCGGTGCCCGTTTGTAGTCCGTTGTAAACAGCGATGTCGATGAAATCACTGACTGTTTTAGCTGATTAAGAAATACAGTCGGATAAACATAACTTTCCTTTCAAATGCCGTAAGAAAACGTGATTGAGTATACATTCGACTTAATGAGAAGTACAGTGTTCAATACAATGACAACAAGGTGACATCCACCAGACATTTTGCCTTAAAGTCCATTAACAAACAACCAGTTTGTAGTAAGCTAACCCTCCTTTTTTCTTGTGTCATAGACTACCATCCCTGGTCCCACTGAAGGAGTTTCACATGGCCCGCTTCACTGAAGACCAACCACTCTTCACCCGCTTCGTGTCCTACGACGATGGTCCGACAGTCATCGTCGACCACCACTTCAAGACCGAGAAGCTGTCCTTCTGGAACAATGGCGTGCAAGAGCTGTACAGACAGCAGTACAGAAACTACCACGTGGACGGCGAGAACCTCGTCCGCCCCGGAGACTACATCATTACCCATACCTCCAATAACTGGATTCTGATAGCCGCATGTATTGGACTGTCTGTTCTTACCGTCCTGCTGTCTGTGTGTTACTGCCAGATGAGACGACAAGTCAGCATCCTCATAAGGCAGAACAGTGTCTCCAGCGGAAAGAGGATGCTGTAGTAGGACAATACTATGATGAAGGACACCGGGGGACGTGAACAAAGAGGAAGAAGGAACATTAGTCGAGAACAGAGTTTAAATTCAACATGTTCTTTCATTGCAGACTGCCGCATGGCTGCAGGATTGCAATTCAGGGCAATGCCCAAAACCATATATGTCATAGAGACTGGTGTAATCCTCATCCCAAGATGTAATGTCAAGCGTCTGAGAAGGAGAAATGTCCATGAAAATATGTTTGGCGAGAAAGCTGTAGTTGCTCTATGTCCACAGATACATAATACCGGCTACCGTCACCCATGAAGATGATTATATTTTTACTTCGGTGACAAAAAAGCTGTCAAACGCATGATATAGTCAAATGTATCTTGGTCGTAGCAAACTGTGTTAACATCTGAACAGGGATATAGGTATCTATATACACCTCCTTGATATTGACATGAAATATACAACGCTATTGACAGGATTTGCCGTGCAACGCCTATTATCATAAGAAGTTGTCAACGCCTTTGTTCACGTTTGACCTGTGTGATGAAGCTTTTTATTCGGACCTAATTACCCCCGGAGCCTAATATTCTGGAGTCTGTGATGTTAATTTCGGATCTCTGTATCCATTCCCAATTTTTTACACATACATATCCACACGTGTGTTCGCACATGGTTCATTCCAGGGTGATATTTCCGATGTGTTCATCGACGAGCGGTATGTGGGTGCGAAAGATGATACAGATTGGATATGGACATATGTACATAGCACATTGTTTGTTGATTGTTGTTAAGGAATGTACATATCATTACCTTGTCAATATCAAGTATATTTCAGATACATTTTATGTGCATTGTTTGTGAAATTCGGTTCGATATAATGAAGTAAAATATACATGTATTTATTTTCATTGAAGAAAGATTGCATGGAAGGTGTTCTTGAAAGAACTGGGTTGTATATTTGAATATAAATATGGGCCCCAGTGATTACAAAATGTGTTTTGGGTAGTCGAATCAAGGTAGAAAGAAATAAGGGACATGTTTTTTATCTTTTACACATCAGCTATCAACTGTAGAGAAACAACGCGTACAGATATATATCTTTTTGGTAAAGGTCAATATTTTAAATGGCATCCATGGCATTTACGTTCAATAAAATGAAACATTCAAACACAAAAGCAATACATTCACATTATATATAAAAGCTCGGCAAACAATAAACAGTCGTTGTTAGCGAAACATTTTTTTTCAGTAGCCTATAATGATTATGATTGAAAAGAACAAAGATATGTTGGAAATGAGCGGTAACGAACAATTGGCCTGAAGGCCCATGCAGGATACATAATGTTATTGTATATGGTAGGTGTTGTAAATTTCAGAGTGTCTATATTTCTTCTAGATGTATGTGTACAGCTGTAATCCAAGGTTTTGTAAGTTAAATATTTATACTTTTATATATTGCATATCATATGGATCCATTTCGTTAAGATGTGACAGTTTGTGTTATAACAATTTTTGTGCTCTTAATTATAACGGTCAGTTTAAAAGTGGACGTTGGGTTGATAAAACGGCATTACGTAAAGTTTAGTGAAAGCAAAGCCGTAGAGGAAATAAAATAGAGACATTTGTAGTATCTATTCATGTGAAAATCATGTTTAATCGATGATCACATAAATAATAACGGTAACCGATCGATTCTGGGACCAGTCAGGGCACGGGGCATAAAAAAACCCAAATTACCTGCGGTTCTATATAACTTCGAAGGAAATATTTGTATCTTTTCCAATCTGTATTCGGGGTTATACGATGATCGCTTGAGAGATGTATCCCAGAAACATAGGTTGGAATCCCGGTTTGCTCGGACAATTCGTCTATACTTGTTAGCAACCTGCTCATGGTAAACGTCTAAGAGTGAGTATGGTTTAACGCCGCTTTTAGCAATATTCCAGCAGCACCACGGCGGGGGAAACCACAAATGGGCATCAGAACTACCCATGTGGGTATTCAAACTCGGATCTTCGGCGTGACGAGCGGACGCTTTAACCACCGGGCTGACCCACCGCCCCTAAACGCATGAGATCTGCGTCATTTCGAGCTTTTCTCCCACATTAAGCTTGCATAACTCAGTGTAACTGAAATACTGTGCTAAACCGTTGATTGTTCTACTACAGAGACGACACCAGTGGGTACTGGATGTTTCGCTAAAATACATAAAGAACCATTGGTCAGCTGAAGATATATAGCATTAGCGACTCATGGTATAGGGGTTAGGTGCCCGGTATGAACAGAAATCTAGTGGATGCTCGGGACGTGTTAATTGAGCTGAGATACAATTTACTTTTTAGGAAGTACATTCCTAACCTTACTCAAAGTACAATCAATACGTGACGGGTACCCTTATCTTGAAGTAGATTCAATACGTGACGGTTAACCTTATCTTGAAGTAGATTCAATACGTGACGGTTATCCTTAGCTTGAAGTAGATTCAATACGTGACGGTTAACCTTATCTTGAAGTAGATTCAATACGTGATGGATACCCTTATCTTGAAGTACATTCAATACGTGATGGATACCCTTATCTTGAAGTAGATTCAATATGTGACGGGTATCCTTATCTTGAAATAGATTCAATACGTGACGGGTACCCTTATCTTGAAGTAGATTCACTACGTGACGGGTACCCTTATCTTGAAGTAGATTAAATACGTGACGGGTACCCTTATCTTGAAGTAGATTCAATACGTGATGGATACCCTTATCTTGAAGTAGATTCAATACGTGATGGATATCCTTATCTTGAAGTAGATTCAATACGTGACGGGTACCCTTATCTTGAAGTAGATTCAATACGTGACGGATACCCTTATCTTGAAGTAGATTCAATACGTGATGGATATCCTTATCTTGAAGTAGATTCAATACGTGACGGATACCCTTATCTTGAAGTAGATTCAATACATGACGGGTACCCTTATCTTGAAGTAGATCAATACGTGACGGATACCCTTATCTTGAAGTAGATTCAATACGTGATGGATACCCTTATCTTGAAGTAGATTCACTACGTGATGGATACCCTTATCTTGAAGTAGATTCAATACGTGACGGGTAGACTTATCTGTTCGTAAAGTCAATATGTGACGGGTACCCTTATCTTGAAGTAGATTCACTACGTGACGGGTATCCTTATCTTGAAATAGATTCAATACGTGACGGGTATCCTTATCTTGAAGTAGATTCACTACGTGACGGGTATCCTTATCTTGAAGTAGATTCACTACGTGACGGGTACCCTTATCTTGAAGTAGATTCAATACGTGATGGATACCCTTATCTTGAAGTAGATTCAATACGTGACGGATACCCTTATCTTGAAGTAGATTCAATACGTGACGGGTATCCTTATTTTGAAGTAGATTCACTACGTGACGGGTACACTTGTCTGGAAGTACATATTACGTGACAGCCATCCTTCTCTCAAGTACATACAATAAGTGACGGTACCCCCACCTCATAATGTAACAGGGACGCCTTTTCCAGGTACAAACCCATGCGAACGGTACCCTTGTTTCGAATGACTAAACATACAGCACGGTTCGTTTAGTTCGGTTTATCCGAATTAGTGCTGAATCCTTTCAACGTACATAAGCCTAAACATTGCCCTCAAGAATCAAATTGTAATCGTCTATTGCTCGATAATATATGAAATAATATATCAAAGGTTGGGTGAAGTTGAAAGTGACTTACAGTACCATCATTAGACTTTCACATATCTGTGTGACATCCGTGTGTGAACCATCCGCGCCAGAGATATTACCTTTGTGTTAGAGAAGGCAGTGAAATAGCTCTGTAGCTCACCTGACGTCATTATTATTGAAATGCTAAAAATGATAAAACGTGTAACAATGGTAAAACATGGCCATACATTATGTGAAATACACACGAAATATCAACGTGACTTTACATACTGTAAAATATGAAGAAAGCTTTTTTGAAATTCGAAAGCGCACTTACGTCTTTGTCTTCGAACGTACATAGCGTTGTGTTAGCTAAGGAAATCATGTCAAACTGCCACAGTTGATCAGGGATTAGCACTATGATAAAGAGTCCGTCCGACTAATTGAACTAAGTCTAAACGGAAGGCATTGGTCAGGTGAGCTAAATGTATGAACTGTGTTGCATTCGATTTGTTATTTAATTTTTTGAGTATGTATAATGTCTGATGTTGAATATATTGTGATTAAATCGTTGAAAAATATATCCTTGTTTTTCTCGTGCCTTTCTTCCAGATATTGATACTACATCAAGATGTAAGGCTATCAACCGACACTATTATTATTACTGCGCATGGTGGGAGAGTTGATCGTGAAGTGATTGTTTTTCACTTAACACAGCGTTGACTATATACATAGCTGCCAAAATGTCGATCACTGGTCATGTTCATGCATCTGTATCATAACTTAAATAATAATAACAGGCATCGAAAACGACGCTATGACATAACATCCGGCAACAGTCAAAGGGAGGTAAATCAACATGACTGACATTTTCTAATAGAGATCCTTTTGTCAAATTTGGTTGCAGGGCATGTAGTTCATATCCCCCACCATTGTTGGGGTTTCCACGAGTAGGTACAAAACGTATGCATGTCCTCTGCTTGTCTTAAGAGGGCACTATCGGGATCGGGTGGACACATGTCATCGTATCCCAACTGCAGTTCGAAGCTCATGCTGTTGGCCACGGCAGGAATTGTCTGGTCCAGACTCGATTATTTAGCCATATAGATAGAACATTGCTTTGAGCGGCGATAAACAAACGTACCCTACTATAGCCGGTTGGAACGATAACTACCCACACTTTATGTACCTGTATTGTATGATCCAAATTCGATTATTTACACTCCGTCATATAGCCGAGACATAGGCGGATCCAGGGGTGGGGGTGGGGTGTGTGTGCAGGGGTGCGCACCCCCCTTTTGTGGTGAAAGTTTGTTAAATGACCATTGAAACTCGGGTGAAAATGAAGTGTGCACCCCTCCTTTTCTCAATATTGTGGACCCCCCCTTTCTCAAAAAGCTGTATCCGCCCCTGCGAGAGCAGTGTTAACAAATATACGCACCTCCACACACACGCTCAAGTGGCTTAACAAACTGAAGGTTGGTGTATAAAAACTTCTGACTACTACAATCGTTAGTTGATATGAGGCACTACATGTTATATACATGTATATCAGGATAAGACAGACTATCATGATGCAAAAGACTGATGACAAATGCGGATGCTAGTAAGCATGGTGTTTGTTGGCCGGTTGGCAGTTTCCCTTGACACACCCACTAGCTGTCCGGTGGCACAATTCTCTATGTCCCCTGTATCCAGAGGATGGGTGTGTGTGGCTGTGAAGGTCAATATGAAAAAACAACATTAATATGTTACAATTTTTAATCATTTTACAAAAAGCTGTACAATTTCAACATCGTTTCATAATTACATACAAGTATGTACATTTATTTCCTCTCACAACAGGAATCCGACATCAGACTAAAACAGTGAAATCTTCGCATTCATCACCTTCATGCGTTTGTAAAGTAGCAGCTCTCTTCAGGTTCCAACACTCAAAGGGAGGCAACTCTTGGACCCATTATAACAAGAATTCCACAAACTCGACACTGTAACAAGGTTTCAAGCACATGGGTTATGGTACACTGTAGTGTATACAACTTTATGGTTGTTGTTCCTACAAGATATCAAGACGGGTTGGAAAATCAGCAAGCATAACAGGGGCAAGTAAACAGGTGAAACCTGGACACCGCCAGGAGGGAACAGGGACTTATATCATATGATGTGATATGGAATAATGATTTATATAGGAGTCAGATCACTGCTGAGACCACTACAGGTGAACAATGGAGTCAGCTGGGAGCTGACACTAACTCACGTTCAGTCCACATTTGTGTTTTTTTACCAAGGCAAGAGTATGAAAAATTATTACCTGAGTGCACAATGATGGTACATGGTATTTACTTTCTTTCATCAACTACACCGAGAGGAACCTTTGGCATGAGTGAGTGAGTGAGTTTAGTTTTACGCAGCACTCAGCAATATTCCAGCTTTATGGCGGCGGTCTGTAAATAATTTAGTCTGACCAGACAATCCAGTGATCAACAGCATGAGCATCTATCTGCGCAATTGGGAACCGATGACATGTGTCAACCAAGCCAGCGAACCTGACCACCAGATCCTGTTAGTCGCCTCTTACGACAAGCATGGGTTACTGTAGGTTCATTCTAACCCGGACCTTCATGGGTCCCTTGGCATGAGTTGAATCAGTTGTTGTCATAGCCATATGATCATGTACCAAACCTGCATTTTATTCTCCTAGTAACATTACTGATCCTGCACGTATGAACCAACATATTTATGACTAGGCCACCCACTGTCCTAATATGGAATAAGTGAGTCAGAATTGACACTGTATGAAACAGTATATAAGTTACTTCACGGTTCTCACGGTTCATTACATGCGTGGAAAGTCTACTAATGACAAAGGTTGGTTATAAACAACACTGGTGCAGCTAATAATGTGGGTACAGTATCCAGTGTTCATAATCTGGGCAAAGGCTGGATTCAAACCATTGATCAGCAGATCCTGGCACCAAAGGGACATAACCCTGTACAGTCATTACCTAAATTCATGTGTCACCTCAACCAAGATCTGGACAAAACATCATATTATACACTGGACATAATGAATATATTTCTATCAGTTTCTTTATATGCTTATTGCAAGTCAAGCGGTACTTCAATAATCAGTTCCTGATTTTGTATGTAATCTGTGAAGTGAGGACTATGTACTACAAGCTGAGTCGTCAAGTGTCCATCTTCAGGCATGCCAACCATTCCACAACTTCATCCAGATCAGAGAGTGTGTGGCCGATGCCAGCCAGAATATTGCTGAAGTACTTCATGGCAGACTGTTCCTTGAAGGATGTCTGGATCTTCTTCGACTTCAACGCCAGTCTACAGAGAGAATGGGGATAACTATATATATGGCATTGCATCAGTGCATGTCAATGTGTGATTGTGCCGTTGTCATGTTATGTCATATAAAAATAACCCATAACATAGGGAATCAGGGGGGTCACAAAAATACGAGTTTCTTGGAGAGGGTCATAAATTATAATACACATAATCCATGAATAAAAAGACACAGTTTATAATAACAGGGTATTTTGCATTTTCTCTTTTCAGAACAATAACATCTGGTTTATTGCCTATAGTGATGAGACGTTGTAGCTTCTTACAGTGATCAAGCTGGAGGGACTACCACCCAGTGACAGATGACACCTTGTGGCAATGCTTCTTACTGACTGAGTTTAGTTTTACGCTGCTTTGAGCAATATTCCAGCAACATCACGGCGGGGGACACCAGAAATGGGCTTCACACATTGTACCCATGTGGGGATTCGAACCCCGGTCTTCGGCGTGACGAGCCAACGCTTTAACCACTAGGCTACCCCACCGCCCCTGCAATGCTTCTTATGCTCTTTATCACAACATATCATAATGATAATAATACAATGAATATACACCTCTCATCACTTGCTTGTTTGTTTGTTACATAATGCCACACTAAACAACATTCCAGCTGTATGCGCTGGTCTGTAAATATTTGAATCTGGACTAGACTATCCAGTGATCAACAGCATGAGCGCTGATCTACGCAATTGGAATACGATGACATGGCAACCAAGTCAGCGAGCCTGACCACCCGATCATGTTAGTCGCCTCTTACGACAAGCATGGGTTGCTGATGACAAAATCTAACATGGATCTTCACAGGTTCACTTGCCATTCAGCTGACAAGAAAGAATCTACATAAATCATTGCAGTAAGCAAAACACCAGAAGATGTACACTGGACTTACATTTTCATCAGGATGAATGCTACCAGACTCCACTGTCCAGGCTTGAAGAGAATGTTGTGACTTGTGAAGCTGAAAAGAACCCATATTTGATGCATTCAACCATCAAGTTTTATTGTTTTAATCAAACCCACTTTTCTGGATCACTAAATTAAATGATCCTGATCCTTCTGAGGAAGTTCATAATCAACAACATTATTACGATTATTGTTTACACAGGAAGTATTTCTCAATTTGAACTTACACTTTGAATGTTACAATGGCAAATTATTGCCATGATTGCTACAACAATTCATGCAATATGGCATATTGACAGGTACTAACTTGACAGATATCGATACATGTTGGTGTTGATCACATTAACAATTTCAAACACAAATTCTAGGATCTAACTGAACTTGGACTTTCAAAATACTGTAACACAGTCGACTTACATAGTTGTCAGCTGTCATTTCTCGCAAAAACACATGTTTCATACCTTGGTATTGATTTATTTAATTTTAAGTTATTTTGTGTTTTGTGACATTATTTGAAATACTGCAACTTACTGGGCATAATGTATTAACACAGTATTTAAAATTCCCGCCAGCCCGACCGTCCGGAACGTTCTATTTTCATCTCGGCCGGTCAAATTTCAAAAGTAGCCTGTCTGGTGGTCTGATAGATGTTTTTACCCTTAACAGTAAATATTTCATAATATCAGACAGGTTCTCTGGTCGTCAGTTTGAAGTGTTTAAGGTATTATGATAATTATGTTAAACTATATACGATTGGACAGTTCATTTTACAATAACCAATCACAATACATGTACTTTCAGTTTACCTAAACTCGGTGCATTGCCTGTTAGAACCATGTTGTTCATTGCGATGCCTACAAACAGTTAAGTATTCAGAAACCTGATTTTTTTCACTGTTGAAAACCGGACAGGTCAGTTTGTATCCGGACTGGTGATTTTTTAAAGTAACCAGTCCGGCTGTATGGCTTGGAATTTTGTGAGTATTAAACATTTAATAAACTTTCAGGACAAAAGGTGTGTGTGTGTGTGTGTGTATGCGTGTGCACCCATCCTCTGGATTCGCCTTTGTTCTACCTGAATGTGTAGACAAGTTCTCGGAGGTGCTGCGCCACATCTTCAAGGGAGAGATGCAGGGGAGGCAGGAGATCAGGAATTCTGAAACAGATGGGAGGCTTTCAAACTCTTTGTCAAATGTGACCCCCAGGAATTAACATGTCGTCAGGCAACTACATTGTGAATCAGAAGTATTAGGGTTACGTACACATCAAATCTGTCCTACACATGTAACCTACAGACCTAAAGTGACAGGTGAATGTAACAGGTAGGGCTGTAACGATGCACTGAACTATCAATGGATTGCAATTGTTGAGTCTCTTATACTATAGCAATGGTAGAAACAAAAAACTGTCGATGCATCGATAGTATGTGTGACTATCGACAATTTAGTAACTGATTTCTGTTGATAAATGCACAGCACAAAATACAGGATGACTGGGTTTCTTGTCAGTTCTTGAAAGAGACTGAAACTATTTCAACTTGTTTTTATTTCATATAAACTATACATTCATTTGGAAAATGACTTCAAACGAGACAATTCAAGGAGAAAAAACTGTTGCAATAGTATTGCAATAGTTGTTTCCCCCTCAACAGTCACCCCTAGCAAAGGAAACCTACACTTTGTCCAGTCTATCCAGCACTATCTTCCTCCGTATCACCATCTGGTCGTGGGAGTCCACAGTGGGAAGCTGCACCTTCTGGCGGGACTTCTCGGCAGACTGCTGTACACAGAAAGTCAGGAACTCAACACTAGGACCAAAATACATACAAAGGAGTAAATCAAAGAAAAAACAAAAATTGAGTGTTTGAACAAGAAAGTCAAAGGCCTTTGTCAAGAGTTAAAAGTTAAGGGGAAACCATATATTACACTCCAGCAGACTTCAAAGACCCCAGGACATATATTTACTCTCTATATCTACCTGGTTGACGCATGTCATTGTATCCCAAATGCATAGATTGATGATATTGATCACCGGATTGTTTGATCCAGACTTGATTATTTACAGACCGCTGCCATACAGCTGGAATATTGCTGAAGGTGTAACAATCCAAACACCAACCCCAGGAGTGAGTGAGTTTAGTTTTACGCCTCTTTTAGCAATACTACTGCAACATCATGACAGGGGACACCACAAATTGGCTTCACATATTGTACCCATGAGGGGAATCGAACACGGGTCTTCTGTGTGACGAGCAAACGCTTTAACCACTACACTTCCCCACCACCCGCAACCCCAGGAGCTGATAGAGAACCCACCTGTATGGTATCATCTGTGTCCTTCATCCCTTTCTTCCGTCCCCCGATAGACCCTCTGTAGAACTCCCTCACTCTCAGCTCATAGTCTCTAGTCTCAGCTTGTATCTGCTTGAAGTCCGGTAATGGACTTGACGCCTGCTTATCATCCTCCACTTGCACTTCCCCAAGCAGGCGGTCAAAATCTTTTTCCTGATCTGCAACCATTTTGCACAGTTCACCATATTTCTTGTCAAACTCAGGCTGGTTCACAGCTGTGGAATCTTTCTCACCAATGCCCAGAAACTTCAGAGAGTCTCTCGTAACCCACTCTTCCATCACCTTGGAAACTGCATCAAGAGGCCGTAATATGGAAACTGGCGATTTTGAAGCTGCCCTTGTTCTTTTAGTTGGTGTGTGTACTCGTGATGGTGATGCGTTAGCAGAGGTTGACGATGGTGATGCTGTAGCAGAGGCTGACAGGTCTGTAGTGGTAATCAGTGAGCAGGCTGACAGGTCTGTAATCAGTCCAGTGGCTTGACGAACAACTTTTGTTTCCTTCTCAAAAGATATTTTCTCTGATTGATCTGTAATAATGCTTTTCTGTCCTTTATCAGCATCGTTAGTACATGCATCATCCTCTTCATCAGAGTCAATCACTTCACAACCACTCTCTTTGACCGTGGAACTGAATTCAACCTCATCATTTTTCTTGCCTCCTTCCTGCTTCCTGAATATCAGCCAGCTGACCCAGCAGATGCTTCTTCCTACTCAGCAGCCTCATCAAGTAGTCTTCTTTTGACTCTCCATTACGCTGACCTTTAATCTCTGACCTTGCATCACCTTCTGACTCACCTTGACCTTTTTCACCTTCAGGTTTTAAACTTTTATCTTCAATCGTATTTGTTTCCACAGCACCTTCAACATTACTAGCCCTCTCTTTTTGTTCTACAATATCTTTCACAAGAGTTGCCTCCCCTTGAGGCTCTGAGAAGTCCACATCAATTCCATGAACCTGATGGAGGTCAGCCACAGTCATGCCAGCCATGTGTTCTACAATGTTGGAGATTATATTTGAATCTTCATCTGTTTGGGACTGGGTAGTTACTGTGTCTGACACAGGACTTTCAGCTCTGTCAGGTTGCTGCTGTTTAGAAGAGCTGATCTGATCCTGTTTTTCAAGTTTCATTACCTCCTTCTTCAAGTCTGTCTGAGGCAGGCTGAGCAATACCTCATCCCCAATAGTACACCTGGATATGATGGATAAACTCAGACTCAATTATTTACAGACAACCACCATATAGCTGGAATATTGCTGAGTATGGCGTAAAACTTAACTCACTAACTATAAAATGTGTTGCTATCAGTAACCGGGTTGGGTGAGTGTCTATCAACTCAAATATGTTGTGAAAATATTTAGGTGAGAACAAGAAATCAACCAATCATATGAACAGTCCCAAAGGACAAACAGGATGTTTATTATAGAATCAGCATGATAATTCCAGAGCAGCCAGGACTTGACAAGGCCAAATAACACCTCCTTTATAAGCAATTGAACAGTTGTTACTGCTCTGAACAAACAACTTACAACCTGATTACAGGTGAAAGGTGCCTGCAACCTAGGAGACAACCTGTACCAAGAGCGGAATGAGTGAGTATGGTTTAACACCGCTTTTAGCAATTTTCCAGCAATATCACAGCAGGGCATATAAGGAATGGGCTTCACACATTGTACCCATGTGGGGAATCAAACCTGGGTCTTCAGCACGACAAGCGGATACTTAAACCATTAGGCTACCACCCCAGTAGCAAGAGGAATGAGCAACATGGGCTTTAATGACACTAGAAACAGTAATTCAGTTTATCATGTTGCTTAGGATATATGTTACTGATAAACAATGATCCTGGCATAGATAATAGACACAATGTAGCAACTTGTGTTAGCTTTGACCACCATTCTGACACAGCCATGACACGTGTACTGATAGACCCATGAAGATCCGGGTTAGATTTGATCTTCAGTAACCCATACTTGTTGTAAGAGGCGATTAATGGGATCGGGTGGTCAGGCTCGCTGACTTGGTTGACATATGTCACCGTTTCCCAATTGTGTAGATCGATGCTCATGCTGTTGATCACTGGATTGTCTGGTCCAGACTTGATTATATACAGACTGCTGCCATATAGCTGCAATATTGCTGAGTGCAGCGTAAAACTAAAGTCACTCACTTGTACTGATATCTACAGGTTTCATACATTTGTAACAGAATTGACCACTTGCCTTTCAGTGTTTCCAGTTATGTGTTCCACAAACACAAGGAACAGACAGTATGACATACTCATTTCTTGCCTTAATGGTATTGGTGCCCACAGTCAAAGAGTCTAGTCAACTTTGAGGCACAAGATATACAGAAGATTACGAACCTCTTGGCTTGTACAGCCAGGAACTCAAAGTCAACCTTGGGTTCAAGTTCCCTCGACCATACTGGAGATGTTGATATTTGCTTCTCAAAGAACTGCGAGGCCTTAAAGCAGAAGTTACTGCAAAATTTCTGAAAACAAATTTGAAGAATTTGCTACCTTAGATACTCTATCAGAAATGGCATCAGAAGGAAGGAACACCTACAATATTACTATGGATCCTGCTGTAGCTAATACAGATGTGATATCACTGGCACAGAGTCTTATCATACCTTCATGTACAATACTTTAATTTCATTGGTCAATGATGCTTTAACAAGTTTCCATGTCACCCCTCCCAGGAGGGTGACAACTGGAAAAAATATTACCCGCTGCCACGGTAACCGCCAAGCTCTCCGCAGAGAAGCTGAAGCACTAACAATTGTATGACATCATAATATGACGCATGCCGTGCCCGGAGTTCGAAAACCGTTCGATCAGCTGTTTTTGAGTTCACTATGTACAGATTTATTTTACTGACTTTCACTGCTTTATTTAAACTATTTTATACATTGAATCGTTTGCACACTCAACTTAAAACATAATTAACCATTTTTATAGCAGTGTTAACCTTGTCAGCATATGTTTCACTGATTTAAAAAATCCTGTCGAGGGGCAGACGCCATTTTGTTTACATGTCATATAGTCGGTAGCGATCCTTAAAATAAAATAAAATGATATTTTGTACATTGAACATGGCGGTAAGATAAATACGTTGTATGCTTCTCCCTCGGGTAATACGGCCTGATGTACGCCTGTTTGTAGCAGTGTCATCCCTCGCCTACCGACTTGGGTAACACTGCTACAAAGAGGCGTACATCAGACTGTATTACCCTTGAGAAAAGCATACAACTTATATTGTCACGATGTTTGTCTAACACAAACTCTGGGCAATGGCTGCTGTATTATTGGATGATTGGATTAAAAATGACCAGTCAATATCAGGGGTATTTATAACGTTCTCATGCTACTTTAAGCAATATTTCAGAAATAGCTTTACCAGGGATTACCAGAAATGGTTTCACACATTGTACACATGATGAAAATAGGACTTGTCAAGGACAGTGAGAACTTGAAAACACTGAGTATGGTCCAGGTTTTGAAGAACTTTAATGAATAATATCAATCAGGGCCTAGATTTTCGAGGCTCTCTCTGCGGTAAGATAGCTGTAAGTGCCATACATTAACATTAACTTATGACTATCTTAGCTCTAAGAGAGCTTTGAAAATCTAGGCCATGTACTCTTCAGTGGGCTAAATTGTACAGGGTTGGAAATTACCATTCTGCTTTTGACAGTGAATTTCTCCCATGTGCACATCTTTCAGAAACTTTAAATTACTACCATTTAAAAGCTAATTCACTGTAGTGTACTGGTATATGCTATTCAGCATCACACCAATGATCACCTGTTTCCCACCACACTTTAATAGGTTTACATTCCTTGAAACGACTGGTACCATCATGCACACAAGTGACTGGTCAACAAGCTACAAAGGGAGGTAACCACTACCTGCTAATACCTACCTTTCTCTCTGTGATATCATACACCATGTTGGACTTGGTGCATATTTTGTACTGCTGTTTAGGAACCTGAAACAACACCAGTAGAATTCAGCATTCCTTGTCATTGGTAAGTTATGCATCCATTTACATCAAAAAAATTAATCTCAATAAAACATGATGTTCTATTCTGTTCTATACAATACCTGTTGCCTGAAGATAACAGTATGTGAACTTTCCATCCATCCAATCTGCATCCAGCAAACAAACTACTCACAAAAACATCTAATATCACTCACAGAAATATCTAATTATTGCAGCTCAAAAATGAATCTAAATGGGTAATTATCAGTGACAAAACTTTTTCGTGGTATTGACGCCCAAAATGGTGTACAATCAAATCATTTGTTTCACTGCAGTTTTCAGAGACTAAGATTGAAATTTCCAGAGGTAGTAAAGAAGCATATTTGACAGAACAAGCATCTGATTGCTTAACACATCCTTCTTTTTGATCAGGGAGTCTTATATTACATATGACAAGAATTTAGAATCAATAAAGTTGGATGCATCACTAATTTTCGTTCCTTCAGAGTTCAACTGACATGAATGAGTGAGTATGGTTTATGTCAGTTTCAGCAATATTCCACCAATATCATGGTAAGGGACACCAGAAATGGGCTTCACACATTGTACCCATGTTTGGAATCGAATTTGGGTATTTGGCGTGACGGATGAACGCTTTAACCACAAGACTACCCACCATCCCTTAACTGACATAAACTTCTATGGAGGTGTTCTTAGATCTTGACACAGAGAACTACAGTCAGGCCGCGGTAATCCGGTCCTCATTAATCCGAATCCACCGACTTCCGAATGTTACTCACTGGGCACCAAATCATCTCCCTATATATTGTATATAATTGACACCTCGTGAGTCCGATGATTCAGTTTCCGCCTCCGAACGCTGGTCAGTCGGAACGGATTGGACTAATTAAGTTGTAAACAGCTGCGTTAATCCGAACGATTGAACTTGACCGTGCTGCTGACTGGTCCATTACGTACTACGAGTGCCAGGGTGACATCGAAAATGCAGATAAAGCAATGGACATGCTCAATTCTTTAAAACAACCTTTGCAGCAGCCCACCATTAAAGACTACTTTTGTAAGTAAAATGTGTGAGTGAAACAATGTGTAATAAAGCCAGTGATTGTCTTTGATGTTTTGTTTTGATTTCTTCACGTATCGATAGTAAGGAAAGATATCAAGGGGAAGTAACTCGGTGCATATACTGTGGTTTCAGCAGTACGAACGTTTCACTATCCGAACGTTTTTTTTAAAAAACCAAAGTGTTCGTATCAACGAAGTCTGACTGTTTACTATTGGAGTAAAGGATCTTACTTTATTGAGACTGACATGAATGATTTCAAAATATCTGCAGGAAGAAAGTATAAAAGACTGAAAAGACAAGCATACTTTATGTTATGTTCGCAGACAGTGTTTGATAGCACAAATACCACTGCTTTGTGGAAAGGAAAAAAGTTTCATGCTGCACGAGACTCTGTGCTGCACATGATTAACAGTAATTTAGAGTTTTCAGTTTTAGGTGCCAGTGACAGTTAATGGATAGCTCTGTCCATGTGATAGATATTCAACCAGAATAGTACAGATCAAATAGAAATAGTTAGAGAATTATCCATGAACACTGAACATTTGCTAGATAAACAGCTTCTTCAAATTAAGTTTAGCCTTCATTATTTATTAGTATATTTCACATTTCTCATTACGTTAAAAGGGGATTTCATGTTTAGTTGATTAACAGAGGATTTCATGTTTAGTTGATAAGAAAAGGGGATTTCACATTTAGTTGATTAAAAGGGGATTTCATGTTTAAATTGATTAAAAGGGGATTTCATGTTTAGTTGATTAAAGGATTAAAGTCAAAATTTATGTAAGTTAGTTTAGTTTCCACTGTGAACCATGGGTAGTTTAGTTTAATTTCCCCTGTGAAACACTTTATCAATCCACAGCACAATAAAGAGAGATACATGATCTTACACCATGTCAGAGGTCTTAGCTCTTTGCATTTTCAAACACAAAACATGGAGGTAAAATTCCAACAAATTCAATAAAAAAAGCTCCATCTACATAGAATTCTACATGGGCAATAACAGTAAATTAAACTATGTGTATAATAGATCTACCTACTTTGGACAGCTTGTTGCTACAGACAGGGTAGCCACAGTCCTTGGCAATGGACCGTTCCTCAACCACATCGGCATAGTGACTGGGAGAGATCAGCTGACCCTGAAACGTCACAGTCATAATGTTATGGTGAGAGAGTGAGTTTGCTTTTACTCCGCTTTCACCGTTTTAGCAATATTTCAGCATATATCATGGCAGGAAACACCAGAAATGGACTTAACACAATGTACCTATGTGGGAAATGGAACCTGGGTCTTTGGCATGACGACTGAATGCGTTAGCCTCTGGGCTGGCCCACCGACCATAATGTTATATAGAGAAGGTATATCATAGATAGCAGTGATATGGAAAAGGCTTCTGTTGGGAGTCTATATACAGCAATACACAGTATAATAATAAATGTGAATATCACAAGAAATTCAAGGCTCAAAGTCAAAAGATGTTTATTGTATGAAAGGCCTCCGGCCCATATACATGAGAGTTACAGTGATAAAATAATATTTTGGATATTTACATATATATTTAAGGGTATACAATCCGCTTTATAAGAAGATATCTTTTAGCTAATGTATGCTTTATATACAAAGACAACTGAACAAACTCATGCCCACTACTTCACCATCGACTGACACAACAGGAAATGACTTAATGACAGTATAGTATATATCCTTATACAAACAGGTTAAGATGTTCTCAAATTTGAGGGGACACAGGTCAAGTATAATTCTCCTGCTTCTTTGAGTGGCATTAAGAAGATGGTATAATGAACATGAATAAATTTTTTTTAGGGATAGACAACTTCTTTATTGCAATGGATGAAACGTTTCGGTGTCGCATCCATTTCAATAAAGAAGTTGTCTATCCATAAAATACCATTCCAGTTCTCCAGCTGCCCGAGGTGAGTGACTAGTGTTTTTCACATTGATCACTTTGCACTATGGCATTATGGGTAAATACATGCATAGTCAAGTTGTTTAATTATATTTTTGGATTTAATGTGAATTTACTGTATACGAGGTGTGTATTTATGTAAAATATCCAGTATATATCAAAGAAACAGTGTATTCAGGCAATTCAATAAGAGTCTGGTACAGGAATGAGAATATTCACATTTGCAAAATCTTGTCTGAGTAATGTTTAACATTTCGCAAGCACTATTGACATACGAGCAATATCAGGCAGATATTTCAATATTACATTTTTGTTTCAGTAAAATTTTAAATGTCTTTCCTTGATGTCTGGACCAGAAAATTACAGTTGGTTACAGCAGGCTCCTCTCTGGGCATTGTTCAACACCCTCCTCAGCAATATCAAGCTATATGGCAGCGGTCTGTAAATAATTGAGTCTGACCACAATCCAGTGATCAGCATCCATCATTGGGATCAGCTCCCATTACAACAAGATCAATTCTAACCCGGATCTACATGTCTGATGACTGAGGTGATAACGTGTCTCTTTTAGTGATAGACAAACATCACTAAATACATACAGCATCCTTGAGGTAGTCCTCTGATATGGGGTTTTCTAGGAGGCGCAACACAACATGGAATGCCTTCTCTTCACTTGCCACCCGATGACGTATCTGCTTTTCCTGTTGGGCAGCCATCACAGAGACTCACTCCTTAATCTGTGAGTAGAGAACAACGACATAAGCAAGTACAACCACTAACAGCATTCCTTTGTCACAATAAAATACAAGGCACAGTTTCCAGCTGTAAACAGATGGTCATTTCACAAAATGTATATTATTAAATGTCATGAATGCAGACCCTAGCTGCTTCTAGTAACTAATAACTTACATGGATTTCATCTTGTGGTCTGACAAGGACAACGTTTGCGCCTGTGAAAATCTTACATAGTCAATGTTTAGCATGCTCTGAGGTTTGAAAATACTTTGGACGATTTAATCATAAAAACATAGTCCAACTCAGTGTTGTAAAAACAGGGCATAGAATAATTGCATTTATTACCCACGTGGTCAACGTATGGGTAGTTGCATACTAATCTCGTACGTCACACGAGTGTCGTATCGCGTTGACCTGTGTCGTAACGACTTGACCTGAGATTCTAACGATTTGATTGGATAACCGATGACCTCTCAATTAGGTCACATTCTGACGTAACTATTTTTTCATTCATAACAAACATGTGAATCCATTCATTCTACAACTTAAATGCATTGTGGGAATGTAAACATCGCGAACGTTGTCTTGTCGCTGTTTAATTGTGAGCCGAACTGAGACATTATACCCGTAGAAAAACGTAAACGCAATGTTTCCACCAGTAATGTTAGCCGAATGAAGCAACTGCAAACCAAGAAAGGAGGCTGTACGAGGCGATGACAACAGACATGCATCGTGACGTCGGTTACAGTGACGTCATTACAGTGACGTCATGCAAATATTGTACTACAGTGCAAAACTCTTCCGCAACCTCTTTATGAAACCGGTTTCGGTTTGAAACCAAGATATTAACAAAAATACGCTATTTTGTCAATTTAATGCATGTAAGACGTGGGTAATAAATAAAATTCCACACTCGGTCTCATTACATACGAATTATACGAAACTCGTGACCTTCCTATGTTATCTGACCTCGCTTTCGCTCGGTCAGATACCAAAGGAAGGACACTCGTTTCGTATAATTCGTATGTAATGAGACCTCGTGTAGTATTCTCTATAGGCGCCCGATATTCCAAATATATCAGAGTCGGGTGCCTATGAATAATTGTGTCGATATGTGATTGTGAACAACCCGTCCTTGTATACCACAGGCAGTTCAAAGGTTAAGTTGTCGAATCATGCTCATATGGGCACGAGTTTTAGAAATAATAGCGAAATCTAACATTGGTTGGTTACCGTTCCTGGAGTGATTCAGCAGAGAATAAAGAATTTTAGGAAAGTCACGTAAGCTCCCTACAGCGATGCCGAGAACGCTCGGGTTTCTTCGACTGGTTTACTGCCCGGCCTGGTTTCCGGGATCTGCTGCGCTACACTGTTTGTTTCCTTACAAACAATTCAGAAAGAACGTCCGGAAACTAGTTTACTCTCGACACGTTGCTAGCGATACCGACAATGATACTGAACGGAGTTTGCATCTTCAGGGGAATTCCCCCATCACAAACTAGTTCCCGGCTCCCTTTGCGCACGGTAATATGTATTGCGATATGCGAGACGGGGCCCAGCTTATCCACAAACACTTCCCAAAACCGATATTGCACAAGGAGTTGTTCATACATAACAGTCTTATCAACATTATATTTTTAGTGCGGTCACACCAAAATCGAGGTTTGTAAATTCTTAAATACTACAACGTACCTACTAGATCCAAACAAAATCATCATCCACAGGGAATGAATATTCTATAATTGTGACTTAAAGCGTATGCTGTATGCTGTAAAGCGTATGAGTGACGGCTTCTATAAGTGGTTTTGTCCATTATACATCACCTTTAATCAGTTTGTGACTCCAGATCAAGGAATACTTTAAAAACTCAACATATACGTCATTCATTCTTGACCTGCTTTTCATTGTACAAGAGGCCCAATTATTAGCTTGGTCCCTGATGTCATTGTAAAGTGTAATATTCCAAAATAAAAGAGCCTAGTCTACTTATGAAAATGTAACTTTAAGTTTTTGCAATGTACTAACAAAGCCATTTGTTCATAATTCATCACATTTATTTTTGCTAAATCCTATAGATGCCTACAGAGGAAGAATTAAGAGCAGGGCACTCAAGAACAAAGAAAGAGTATGCTCTTCCTGGAGAGGATGGCACTCTGTCCAACCAGAAAAGACAGGCCAGACAAGGTATGTATACAAAGAACTGCTTTATGTTTATTTGAAACTGACAAAAACATATTTAACACAGAAAATGGGCACTGTAATTTAAAATGGTCTAAAAAAGTGTGTTTGTCTTCGATCATTTGTAAACAACTGTTCCCCTTCTTTATGTCTGAAATTATAGTGATAATTGGGTATGTACAAATGACTAACTGCCATGCCATTTAAGATGACTTCATGCTTTCGATTGTATATTTATTTGCCTTTTCATCGGTACAATTTTGCTGCATAGTATGCCTTGTTGTTTAGTACAAGAAGAAGGTGAAACACATACTGCATATGAAGGGGATGTGGTCGTTGGAGAGAAGGACATTCAGAATACAAACAGTTTCCATCCTCGGTTCAAACCTGTTTTAATTGGCATTAACATAGATGACACATCTGACAGACGCCAGTATGAGCTTGTGCCCAGAAAAGAGATTTATCCTAGTGTGAAGCAGTTTCTTGAAGAAATAGAGGCAAGTATTTAAATATTATATTTCAGGGATTGTTGTACTAATTGTTAAAGAAGTCATACCTAAGAAGACACAAAGATCTAGTGAGCTAGCATCATGGCATGTTTTTCACTGTGCACTGCCATTTTAAAGTATTTTCTCCTGAGACATCACCATAACACTTCATTTTCACGAAAGTTTCAATGGTCATTTAATAAAATTTCAGGACAAAAGGAGGGTGCGCACCTCTGCAAACACCTACAAACCCCACCCCCACACACACACTGGATCCTGCCTATGACTTGTTCCCATCAGAGATGCCACTCCCATTGTACAAGAAGTTCAAAATCTGATGTTCAGTTAGGAAACTGCAAGCTGACACTGCCATATTAACCATGCTCACAAATTTAATCAAATGCCTTTCTTCTCACTAAAACTACATCTCCTCTAAGGAACCATGACAAACACTTAAGTGAACTTATTTCATGACTCTTATTTGGTTGTTTTTTGACATTTTGGGCCCATGGCTATGAAATATGTCATTATCTATAACCAGGGGGTTATCAAATATGTTGTTATCAGTGTGGTAGTTTAGGATATTTGGGGTAAATGTTACCTGAGGGTGTCAGATATATATCCTGGTTATATAAGGTTTGAGTTCTATTTGGGGTTGGGTTAAAATAACATGGGTTATTAGTGTGTTCTCGGCTATGCTCATATGCATAGCCACAGGTTGGTGTGGTCTGCTTGGCATGTTCAGCACATGCACTGCCTGCCTCTAGCCCTATAAAGGGAGTAGCTTCACAACACTCCTGGTCTTTAGTCTGCTGGTTCACCAGAGGTGAGGACATGTATTTCAGTTGCTTGAGTCCTGGTTATGCAGACCAAGTACATGTATATAGGTGTTTTTGGTTACATAAGAACTTAAGATATTTATTTGTTTTGGACATAGGCTCTGAAATCAGAGCCATGTCTCGTTAGGGTTTGGGGTTAGGTTAGATTGTTAGGTGTAGATTAGGTTAGGTTGTTGGGTTAGGATAGGTTTAGGTCTTTGTAAATAAATTATTGAGTTTCTCTTTTCTATTTGTTATGTTTTACCAGCAATGAGGCCTGATTCATAGAGCCTATTTGGAAGTTGGCTACTTTACCATCACCACATAAAACAGTACACAACACACGGTCCTAAACCCTATTATAGCCAACTTCAACTGTCACTGGGCAGAGAAGCCTATTACATCGGTAACTGGGTTGGGTGGGTGTCTATCAACTCAAATGTGTTGTCAAAAATATTCTGGTGAGAAGAAGATATGTATCTGTATTTCATATTTCAATATATTGTTTTTTATCATTTTCAGAATGAGAAAAGTTCACCTCCTGCAAAGGAAGAAACGCTCAGGATTTTCCAGAAAATTGTTACTCATCCTGAAAGTGTTTGCTCTGTTTTCCATGTCAACAGTGTGACATATGTGTTTGTAAGTATTGACACCCAGCGTCTGACATTTAGCTCATCTAGTACACATTTTGGCCCATTCCACTCATCTTTCTGAAAAACAATATAATGCTTATAATAATTATTAATGACCAGTTTATGTTCCTGTTTTTTTGTGAAATTTAAAGGATGATCTCAGCATAACCGCTAGTACAGTTTGTTTCTTTAACATTGTTCCTCCTCCTGAACCTTGGGTGTTCTAGGATGGAGTAGGTTCCCTGATCCCGATTCTTGTTGCATAAATTGCCCTTGGTTAACTGTTGGGGAGAAATGATACACTTGTGTACTAGTGCATTGTGAGTTTTCCAAAATTTTTTTTGTTTGTATCAGGACAAGATTATACACTTGTTTAAATACTTACTACTTGTTTTCTGAGACTCTCTACCCCCAGTATTTTTGTTAATCAGAAGTTGCAAAATGAGTAGCAATTATCATTTCAAGTCGGGCTTCAAACCTATACACAAATTGTGCGTGTCTACGTTGCCTTGTCAAAGCTCTCTTTCGATGCAAAGCAAAGCATTATTCAAGTATATTCCATGAAATATCACCAAATTGACATACTGGGTCATGATGGTATTAAGATACAGTATAAAGATTGTTAAAGTTTGCAATATGGCCTTTGAAAGCAGCCTCTACAACCATATGTCTGCAGCTAGTTTTTGCTTTGGAACTAACAATGCATACTATGATGCATGTCAGATCTTGATATGCATTGTATCATGACTTGCTGTATTGTTTCACTAATTGTGAGTTCTGTCAAAGTGTGTCGCATCAAAACCGGACTTGCTGTGGATCCATTATTTCCATGGTGCCTGATTGGCTTGGTAGCTTAAATATTGTTGACTGTGCTCTTCGGTCATTAAACACTCACTCCCAGTTTTACTACCTGACTGTTGATTACCTATACCCCAGAAATTCCAGCCTTCATCACCTTATATTTTGATAAAATATGATTTGCAATGGTATTGTAATCTCAACTGGGATCTAATCTTAAAAAAGATGGTACCTTATATATTGCTAAATATCTGCAATGCTGTTGTAATCTCAACTTGTAAACTCAAATCTGAACAAGATGGCTGACATGTTGTTATTGTCATGATGAATGGGTTAAGAAAGCTGTGCACTCACTTGGAACAAGCTTCCATTATTATCCATCAAAATCCCGGTGTGCAGACAAAACCCCCTGTGGACAAAAGCCCTCCAGGACAAAAAACCCTTGGGACAAACTCCCCCACCATGTAGGACAAAAAAAAGAAGAAGCTCCAAATGAATAATGAAGATTGTTTATCATTCAACTATTTTGTTTAGCCGACATCACATACATAATGAGCACTAGCACAAACTGGGTACATCACAACTTGAGCACCAACCATCAACACAACCTGATGTTATGTCCCACACCGATCAGAAAGTCAATGTTATTCTTCAATACCTCCATGCTGGAATGCTACTGTCTGCTTAGTTTGTGGAGCATATATTTATGCCAGTTGTAATATGACAGTGAGTTGAAATACTTAATAATGTGTACATATCTAAATACTAAGTTGACTAATTAAACTTTTAATACTCTTGAAGTCAGCTTCATCCTTACTAATGTTTGCAAACGAAATACGAAGTTAATTAATGAAGCCTGTTAATGCCTATCACTGAAAATCTCTATTACTGATTCAATCAAAACATGTCACTTAAGTCAATCACTGAGTAGGTAAAACATGTTTGGGGGTTTTGTCCAGAGGTCCTCATTTGTTTTTTTTTTCCTTATGGGTTTTTGACCTAAGGGTTTTTTGTCCAAGGGGTTTTTGTCCTTGTGAGTTTTTGTCCACAGGATTTTTTTTTGTCCTACAATCAAAATGTCAAAGACATCTATGGTTCAGAGGATAGGGTAACTGCTCAGAGGAGGTATTTGTTGTTATGATACCTAGCACTCGATATTAAGGGGATGCAACAAGAAGTGGGGTCCTCCAAGTCTGTTTACCCGGAATGGTACAAAAAGCCATCCATACATGTAAGTGCACTCTATGATATGATTTATATAAACTTAAATGTGATGTTGAACTCATGTCACCTCCCATGTCCTTGTAGAAATGTTTTAACCTTGATGAATGTGACATTTACAGTTTGTTTTTTATTTCAGATACTTGTTGAATGTTCTCCAGAAGATGGAAGTTTTGCTGCATCAGTTCAAGGGCACGATAAAGTTCTGGCACTCATATATGATGCAACAAATAAAAGATTTGTCTTGGTGCTCTTTGGTGATATTAAGGGTAAATGCAATTATGTCATGTTGAATGTCATGTGAAATCTGGATCCCGAAAATTGTAGATATGTAAATGCTTCTTCTTAGATCAATGTTGCAGTTTTATGGCCATTTGTTTACAGTAGTGATATACAACTTTATCATCCAAAACTGTATTCCACAGGAGATATCGCTTGTTTGAGATCATATGATATCTCCTAGGAGATATCGTTTTGACAGCAGGTTTTGTACAATGCCCAGACAATGCTATGACGTCATGAACTTGGTGACATCACAATGCTATGACATCGCTGAACTGCAAGTCTAATGGAAGTACAATGTGGAAAGATGTGCATTTTTCATTGAAAACTACACAACGAATGATTTTTGATGATAAATAGAATCTCACCCTCGTGTATACTGATATCAATTATATCAATACTCGTTGATAAAGGTAAAAATATCCTCGACAAGCCTCGGATATTTGTAACTTTATCAACTCTCGTTGATATAATTGATATCAGTAGACACTTGGGTGAGATTCTCTATTTAGTCATATACCATGAAACAATGCCACACTATGGTGACACACCTTGAAACAATGTTACACAATGGTGACACACCTTGAAACAATGTTACACAATGGTGACACACCTTGAAACAATGTTACACAATGGTGGCATTGATGGCTGGGCACATTGCCTTGATGAGGCTACTCAGTGCTGATGAAAATCTTGGGTAAAATCATTCCATATCCAAGGAAAGATTTAAAGGACCTCCTGCAGCATTATATGTGTGTCAGTGTACCCATCTGTACCATTGTATGTATGTGTGTCAGTTTATCATTGTACCATGTGTCATAATGTGTGGATGTGTCAATGTACCATGTGTGTCATTGTGTGGATGTGTCAGTGTACCATTGTGTGGATGTGTCAGTGTACCATGTGTATCATTGTGTGGATGTGTCAGTGTACCATGTGTATCATTGTGTGGATGTGTCAGTGTACCATGTGTTTCGTTCTGTGAATCTGTCAGTGTACCATGTGTGTCATTGTGTGGATGTGTCAATGTACCCATCTGGACCATTGTATATATACTTCCCATCAAAAGTTCAGACTCACTTAAAACATTCACTATATGTTGGTTTCTCCACCAACATGGGGGAACCAACTGTAAACCTTATGCAGATGAATTGCACCAGGATCATGCATCAAATTGCTGAAAAGCATGTGCAAATGTCGTGCTGCGTTTTAATGTAAGTTTTGTTAAGAATTCACCAATTTTCACTGATTTTAATAATTTAGTGAACTCATGACAATAATCTTTTCAATGTTACGAATTTGTTTTACAATACATCAGTTCATGTGTAAACAGTACATTAAAACAGTAAGGAATATTTTGCAAAATTTAGTTTAGAACAGTTGTCTGAAGTATGTGGCTATGTGTATGTACGATAAATGCAACAGCAACTTCTCGGCGGCAGACCCACATGCTTTATGTGTTGATTGTTTAGGACGTTGTGAGTGGTCTCAAATTTGCACTTTTTGTGCAGACCTCAATGATGATGCTTTTTCTGAATATCGCCGGGTAGCTTGTAGACTGCTGAAGATTTCCTAGGGGAGGCGTTGGATTCTTACCTCAGTGAAAATTTACGTCAACTTTTCCGGCCGCATGCGTCTAGCCCCATCACTTTAGAAGGCTCTTCAACACCTAGGGTTGTCGTGTTGTCTACGTCTCCTCTTCAAACCCATCCCTTTTCGGTGATACCTATTCCTCAGTGTACTTCTGTTCCTGAGGTGGGGGTTTTCTTGTGTGGTGCTTGATTACTAGCATTACATCTCAAGTGACATCTCAACACAAAGGGTTACACAAAGTCCACAGTCTAGACTACCAGTTGTCCGACTTCCATTTTTGTGGAAGCCACAGTGGCTGAGCGGTCTAGGCATCTGACTTTGTGTGCTGGCGATTTGGTGCCTGACCCTGAGGGTGTGGGTTCGAATCCCGGATGGAGTACTAGAATCTGTACTTTACTAAGAAAGTGTAATCCCAAATATAGCATATGTTACAGGTTTCGACTTCTCAACCCGTGGATTTTGATGCCATTGTGCTAGTGGTAGCGTCAGCATTACGGCATCAGGCACCAGCAACTTCCACTACTGTTCAGTCATCGGGTCCTTCGACCAATCCAGTTCCACTTTTAGAGGTTCGTTGTTCGACGACGCCATCTCCTTCTTCTGATGGTACGGCACTGTCGGATGGTAGCGTGGATGCTGTTGACACACCTCAACTACTCATCTGGATTGCCGATAGCCTCCATTTACAGCGTAGTAGTTCGTTGGCGGATTTATTATCCTGTTTTGATATGAAGCCAGCTGATTTCGGTTCCATCACGTTCCCGCCTCGACTGTGTATTACTCAATTGGCAGCATCTCTGGATGAGGCTTGTGGTAACCTGAGAAAGGTTAAGGATGGGTTCACGGCTCCTCGCTTGAATTTGGCATCTGCTCATGTGCCTTGTTTCTCTACACTGATCGTCTCCCCGTCCGGTGGATGATGATATTACGTTGCTGGGAACTAACAGAAAGCCTACTCGCCGTTCCTGGTGGAGGATCGTGAGCTTTTGCATCTGGATGGTGTCATAAGGAAGATTATGGCGCCACTCAACATGGTGTTGACAACTACCGGAGCGGTGGCTATGTCGGTTGCACATGCTACGTCCCATCAACAAGCGTATATTAGAGAGGCTATGGTCTTATTGCAAGAGCAATTTCAGACCATTCTGGATCAGTTGGCTCACTTCTTTTCGTATATCACAGCTGTGCGTCGCAGGGGGCCTTTGCACTTATCCTCATGGGAGGATAGGTTCCGTACTGATCTCTTTTGGCAGACGTGGTCTGGCAGGTCTCTTTTCAACGGGCGATTTAGAGATGTCGCCAACAGAGTTGGTCAAGATGCTCATTTACAAGTGTCAGTGGAATTGTTGAAATTCCAATGTTTGCAGGTGGAGGAATCGTTGCGTCGGCGACGACCAGCCCGTTATGTTCCTGTCAATCCGGACCTGCGTGCGGGTTCTACTGCTTCCTTTCGTGGAAAGGGATCCTTTGGCAGAAGACAGTTCTCTGGGCGTTCTCTGCTTCACGACCAGCTTCCACTGCCGACCAGTCCACTTCGCAAAGGCCTGACAAACAGTGACTTGATGACATTAGAACGCGACTGGGTTCTTCCATCTCCAGTCGTGCCCTTTCTGACTTCCCCAGTAGGCGGCCGGCTTGGGACCTATGCTCCCAACTGGATCATCTTGGGAGACCCTTACGTCCTCTCCATGTTATCCATGGGGTTTCAGCTGCCAATCATCGGGATCCTCCTCTCACTTTACTTCCGGATCGCAGAACGTATCCTGCTCAACAGACGGCTGTTCTTCGATCCACAATAGACACCTTACTCAAGAAACTTGCGATCGAATCCCTGGGTCAGGCTCCGACCGTCCCGGGGTTCTATTCTCCAATCTTTCTGGTCCCCAAGAAGGATTCGGACAAACTGAGGTTAATCTTCAACATGAAGATATTCAACGAGAGGTTTCTGCAGCCTCTGCCCCATTTTCGCATGGTATCGGTGGCACTCCTCAAGACCATTATCAAGCCAGGAGACTACATGGTCAGTTTGGATCTCCAGGATGCTTACCTGCACATCCCGATCTTCCCGGCTCATCGCAAGTTCCTTCGGTTTGTCTTCGAGGGCACCCACTATCAGTGGCATGTCCTCCCGTTTGGAATTTCTTCGGCCCCGTGGCTGTTTACACGGGTAATGAAGCCTATCACCAGTTTCCTTCACCGCAAGGGAATAGTGTTCGAGGCTTACATCGACGACTGCATTCAGGCACAGACCAATCATGCCCTTCTGCTTCATCACATGCAGTTTGCGATACAGCTTCTTCGCCAATTAGGCTGGTTAATCAATCTGCAGAAATCAGAACTAGTCCCTATGCGCCGTCTTCAATTCATTGGAGCAGTGTTCGACACAGGGTCAACAAACTCTTTGTCCCGAGGGATCGTTTCTGCAAGATACAGCGATTGGTCTCTCTGGCACTGGCGCACCCCAGGACGCTTCATCAGTGGCAGGAGCTCCTGGGCCTCTTGACGTCGGCTCAGGCGTTGACCCTCAGGGGTCAACTACAACTTCGTCCCTTGCAGTTCTTTCTAGCGCCTTACATCAGAGTGGGAGATCCCGTTGCCTTGATCACTCTACCTCTGGAGCTCCATCCCCATCTCCTGTGGTGGATGGAAGAATTGAATGTTTGCGACGGAGTTTGTTTAGGGCCGTTTGTTCCGTCTCACCACCTGTATGTGGATGCATCTCAACACGGGTGGGGAGCTCATCTTCTCAATCAACAAGTGGCAGGGCTGTGGTCTCTCGTCGATCGCGCCTGTCACATCAACGTTCTGGAGTTCAGGGCGGTGATTCTTGCAATCAGTCACTGGCAGGATGTCCTCAGAGCAACTTCCCTCATGATCCGATCGGACAACGCAGCGGTGGTTTGGCATATCAACAGGATGGGGTCTACGGGGTCTACTCAACTGCTGCAGTGGACCCAACAGTTCTTCGATCTGGTGGACTCTCTCAACATCTTAGTCCGAGCCAACCACATTCCGGGGGTGAAGAATGTCATTGCAGATTCTCTGTCCCGGCCGAGTCGTCCCTCTCCAACAGAATGGAGATTACATCCTCAGGTGTTCCAGACCCCTTGTCTTCCATTGACATCTCTTTGCCATCCGATTCAACCATCAGCTGCCTCGGTTTGTGTCACCGATTCCGGACCCTCTGGCTTGGGACCTCGATGCTCTAGCCATTCCGTGGGAGGACCTGAACGCTTAAGCGTTTTGCCAGTGGCCCTTCTTCCTCGCATATTAGTGAAACTGCGCGCAACTCAGAGGATGACTCTGCTTTTGGTCGCGCCCTATTGGCCGGCCAGAAGTTGGTTGTAAACCTTCAAGACCTAGCCGAACCAGATCCCGTACCACTTCCCGTTCGACCCGATCTCCTGATACATCCGCACTCCGACCAGCTACATTGGTCCCCGTTGACGCTCCATCTGCACGCTTGGCGCATCTACATCGGTCGTTAACGGCGAAGGGCTATTCTAAACGGGTTGCTACTGCCATTTCTACAGCGCATCGTACTTCTACGAGGTCACTCTACGATGACAAATGGAAGAATTTTGAAGCGTATTGCAGGAAGAAGGGCGTCTCATCCCCAACTATGGCCTCCCCGCAGATGGTGGCAGAGTACCTTCAACATCTACGAACCTCCAGAAAACTCAGAGGTTCTACACTATCTACCTACCTGGCTGCTCTTAACACCGTTATTGCAGCGGCCTCGGGTGTGAAGATGTCCACTGTCCCTGAACTCCAGTCTCTCATTTGGTCTTACAAACTGGCTGACCAATCTCGGAAGTTCCGGCCTCCAGCTTGGGATCTTTCCATTGTACTTGCTCATCTCACGTCAGCTGATTACGAACCTTTGGAGGAGAAAGATTTTGAACATGTCTCCTTTAAGACCTTCTTTCTCTTGGCCTTGGCATGCTCTTTCGGATGTTGCATGCTCTTGATGTTTCTCGGGTGCGGTTTGAAAGGTCTAGACATGCGAAAGTTTTCCTTGGTTTGCGATGGGATTTTCTCGCCAAGAATCAGTTACCAGGACAGCCGGATCGCACATTCACGATTCCGCCGTTGTCCACTATCTTGGGCCCAGATGACACAGAGGATCTGTCCTTATGCCTGGTGCGTGCATTAAGGATTTACCTAGCTGCCTCACAGGATCGCCGCAGACTGCGTAAGAGATTGTTCATTCCATTGTCTACTGCCTCCACCTCGGAAGTCTCCCGTACTACCTTGGCATTTTGGATGCGAACTACGATCCTGCGTGCTTATGCCTTTGCTGACCTACCTCCACCGTCGACGGCGAAGCCTCATGAGACTCGAACTCTTGCCTCCACCATGGCTCTTCATAGAAATTGTTCCTTGCAGTCCATCATGGAGGGCTGTTTTTGGAGATCCGATACGGTGTTTGCTTCACACTACCTGAGGGACCTATCGGTTACAGACGTGGAAGGTCTACATCAATTCGGCCCCTTGGACCTGGCGCAGCAATTGTCATCGGCCCGTGTTCGCAGATAAAGCTATCCTTCTTGGTCGGTGTTGCTCTGTACATAATAAAATATATCGATGTTATCCATGTCTTGGCACTTTTTTCTATTGGGATTAGATTATTCTCACCTATGGGAATAGGGCGTGTCTGCACTGTCATAAGTTATGACTTAATAGACTGTGAGGCCATAGAGATGATCGACACTCCGCTTACTGACCTCTACTCTCCGAGCAATTGCGTCAGTAAAGTGTTGATTTCCGATTAACTGAACGTTAAACTAGTTGAGCAACCGAGCTATTCCCTCTTTCACCGCCTTCCAGCGTGTCTCTGTGGGGGGTAGTTTCGAAGCAGGGACTGGCCAGATTAAGGTCTTCAACTTTAATTCACTGGGGTCACCTGATAAATCGCAGGGCGGCGGGGCCTACTTGCCAAACTGCGTCATTGTGCTTGTCAAAAGTTGCGCCTGAAAACCACATTAATTCGGGAGCGCCCACTCCCTAGAGTTTTTGTGTTGTGTAAGCCAAGGGGTTACAAGAAACCCATCTCAAGTTTGGAGTCTGCATATCGGGAGTTGGTGCTTTCTCCTGGCCTCCTTGGGGTTATGCGTCTTCCCGGTTGTACGTATTGACGGGGTAATCTGTGGCCCTCCTACCAACTGTGGGATTGTGCATACCGTGAGATAGGATAAGTTTAAAAATTTGTAAATTTTATAATAAATTGTATATTTATATACTTATCCTATCTCACGCGATGGATACCCACCCGACCTGCCCCACATCACAGATTACTGGAAGCTCCAAGACGAGAATGACAGGCACAGGTAGTCACATGATCATCTGAGCGAGCTGCACGCTTACGGAGATGATTGACAGGTGCTGATGTCTGAGTGGGGAAGAGGTCAGGGCGGGTCAGAGGCCAGTAAGATTTGATTCAACTTAGCCTACAGCACATTTCCACACATGGTCATAGAAGAAGAATAGAAATATATACTACTCAAAACAAGTGCATACCATGTGAGATAGGCTAAGTATATAAATATAGTGTAGGCGCCATGTTAGCTAAGCAGCGTGCTCAGTTGGCATCAGTTCTTTTCTCCGGCGAGTCTAGGTTTACTCTACAGTTCAATGATGGTAGAACTTCATGGTGTATTGGCGTCAGGAGGGAGGTTTGCTGGCGTTAACGTCAACCAACGTTTGCCATTTGGGCGGGGTGTCATGGTTTGGGTGCGTTTTCCGTTCATCAAAGGACACCTCTCTATGTCATTAATGGTACCCTGACGAGAAATCGCTATCTACGGGAGATTATCAGACCCCTTGTTTTGCAATGTTTGTAGCGCATACGGCGTCCGGATCCATATTCGGCGGTGGCAATGCCAGAACCACACCGCGTCTGTGTTGTGACGGACTTCTGTAGACAGAACAATGTTCAGCACATGGAATGCCCGGCATATTCAGCAGATTTAGCCCCTATGGAACATGCTTGGGGCGAGTAAGGGCGTCGGCCGGTGAACAACCACGCCTCCAAACAACCGTGCAGAACTGGCCCAGTATCTCATTGCAGAATGGCAGACAATACCCCAAGCCTTCTTCCAACGATCTGGTGAACAGTATGAGACAGAGGTGTACTGCTTGTCTTAATGCTCGAGGTGGTTACATACGTTATTAGTCCAATGTTGGCGTTTGAATTTTCACTTCTGACAGTAGGTCACTTTGACCTTATTGATCAGCAATCACTGACATTCCTGCTGTTTTTGTCTCCCGTTATGGTTATCATGAAATGTTGGCTTGAGTTGTAATATGATCGCTACATTTTACTGTTATTTATATTTGTAGTTATGGCCATTAATAGTTTTGACCCTTAACTTGTTTTGAGTAGTATACAATTTATTATAAAATTTACAAATGTCTCAGTACTTGTAGCCTTGAGGTTTTTCTATGTAGAAGTGAGTTAAAATTGCTGAATGTTACGTCCGCAGATTTGCAGTGTTTGTAAGTAGGGAAAAAAACTAATGTTTATTTATTTTGTAGATATATTGCATTTCTGTTTCCAGAGAAAAATTATGATCTATTCTTTTCACAGATTCAATTGAGTGGAAACAAAAATACAATCAACAGTTTATAACATTATATTCTTTATCTATGGACGAGGACACAAGCCAGCAATAACAGGTAATATCTTCAATTATTTCACTGGTTTATGTGTGACAGAGGCCCAGATAAGCTGCGTATCCGGGTAAAATATGGATAGAAAATTTCCAATTACGCATTGAAAAAATAATTGTTGCGTACCAATTACGCATTTAAAATGTTAGATACGCAAAAAGTTAAAACAAATGCATACAGAATATATTTATAATAATCACTTGCGTAATGAAAAAGACATCGATTGCTATCAAGTTGTACTGTTAGTATAGGACAAGTGTTGTACTGTCAGTATAGGATGAGTGATTTTTTATGAAATCATTTCCATTATATTAAAGTTGGTTTTGATTAGGTATGACATAAGGCAGAACATACCTGCTTAGTAAACTTACTCAATGACATATACTTAGGTGAGTAAAATGACTGAAATATGCACATATTTGAAAGCAGTGGGTAACGGAAAATGAAATACCCACTCAACATTCATAATACCCACTCCAAAAAAATACAGTGGGTACAGTACCCACATGAGCTAAATCTTATCTGGAGCTCTGTGTGATATGACTCCTCAGATTATGTATGCTGCAAATAAACATACGGACATAAACGTTTTCTGTCATTGTTGACATGTTCAACTGTTGACTGTGTATGCCAGAGGGCTGAGCTAGGACAAGTTTCAGAATAGATGACCATGTTACAACACTGTTCTTTATCCATTAATCACAGCCCACTGTCCAATCAAGAGACTACCGGAATTGGGTGGTCAGGCTTGCTGACTTGGTTGACACATGTCATCGGTTCTCAATTGCTTAGATCAATGCTCATGCTGTTGATCACTGGATTGCCTGGTTTAGACTCAATTATTTACAGACCGCCGCCATATAGCTGGAATATTGCAGAGTGCAGCGTAAAACTATACTCACTCACTCCAATCCAGAAATAAGTTGTTAGGGGGCACTGTCAAGAGTTCCAGCTTTAGCCACCCCAGAAACTCATGATTATGGGTTCGAATGACAAAGTCTCCCTATTAGGTCTGAAACACATAAACTTAATAGCCATAAAGATCCATGTTAGAATTTGTCTTAAAGCGGTGTTAAACCATACTCACTCATTCACTCAATTCCTTAGATTGATGCTCATGCTGTTGATCACTGGATTGTTTGGTGATTGTTTGGACTCGATTATTTACAGACTATATAGCTGGATTATTGCTGAGTGCAGCGTTAAACAACCATAAACTTAATCACTTAGGGATTTTCTGCTGAGTGATATATACAGTTCAAAGAAGCACTCTCACTCTATATCATCTTTTACATTCAGTTGACATGGTTAAGTTACTTACTGAATTACTTATTTTCAGATTTTCCTTCCAACTTTCCCTTTTTGAAGGTAAGATAACATGATATTATTTTTCCGAGAATTTATTTTTATATGCCAATATGAAGAATACCTGCCATATATGAAGATCATGTCAATGTCATTCACTCAGTTGCTGTAGCAATTGATCTGATGTGACATACTGTAAATCATGAAATTAATGTGAGTGGAATTTAATATACAAAAATGAGTGTCCTCTGCTCACAATAATAAAATGAGGCATTTTTATGTGGAAATTCCTAATTTATTGGTGGTGAAATAGTCGTGCCAATTTCACTGAACATGGCAGAAACAATGACATACATGACAAAGATTGCAGTCGAGTTCTGGCTTCAAACTTCAGAGTTCTCCTCAGCAAGTTCCACATCAAGTGTAACCAACACTCCTTATAACTTGTCAGATAATCTATTGACTTACGAATATTGAATCACCTACAATGTGACCATTTCATTGAGGGCGAAAACCCATGGTCACCCTTTCATTTGCGTTCAGTTTGTCCTTTTGGATTTACGGTAAAGTACAGTCTAGGTCAATCAACTGTTTAATCTATTGCCTTTGATTCAATGTCAAACAGTGAAAGTTCAGTTTGTTCATATGGCAAATGATATTATTCATGTGCTCTCACCCCAAAACTATTATCATGGAATAACAGACTTATACAAGATTTTAGTTTTGATTACCACAACAATTGATATTTTAGGAGTCAGGTATTAGGAAAATATGAATGTAAAGTATTAGTGTCTTCAGGATATGTAACAGCTTAGAGAAAGACACAAGTCAATGTTAATAAAAACCCATCTCATAGAAAATATATTATAAAAAGTATAAGTTACATAGTTTATTAGATAAATCTTAGCCTAAGGTGACAAGGATTCATCTCCTGGACACACTTTCAATAAGATATAAGTTCTGTCTACAAAGTTTAAGAAATTGCCTGCAAGGAGGTGCAAGAATTAGCTAGTGCGTCATGATAAAGAACAAAAGAGTTGTTTTCCATAAAATGTGTCATGTATTCATGTTCGTCCAACATCTAAATCAATGCCTTTCAAGAACTTGCCGTATCAATACGATCCGATTTTACATCTTGCAACACAATCTTCCACTGAAGATGAAGAAGAAGAATCAAGCAAAACGGAGGCACCGCTTGAGGTCAAAATAAATTTTAAAATAGACCATATCATTTAACAAGATTACTATTTGTCAGCAAAATGTCATACAGTTCCAGCCAGCAAACTCACCCCTATAAATATATGACCAGTCACTAAGAATTATTTAAAAAAAAATGTGATTACAATTCATTTTGTGTCCAATGGGTGACTGTAGGGTGTCTGGGATTTAAAAACAAAATAATTATGCTTCAGACGAGGAAAATAAAAATTATCTGCTTCAAAAATTACACTGGAATTATTTTGTTGAAAAAATTTAGGATCCTAGTTCTCATTAATAACGTATCAAGTCTCGATACAAGATCCCAGCCTGGTCGAGCAGAGATAATATTCGCGACGCAGATAAGTTATTCCCCGAAAACTGGTGAATTATAAAATACTAGTCAGGACATGTTTCCCCATTGTTTTGTTACGGAAATAGTTATGGTACTCGGTCATAGCCTTAGAATGACATCCTGTCAGCCAATGCGAATACAGAACAACTTTCACGGCACACACTACTGACAAACAGCGAGTCTGATGCCGACGTGCGTAATTGGACAAAATGGAAAACAATGAAAGCAACAAGTACTTCATGATTTGCCATTGTATTCGGCAATGTTTCAAGTTGACTGCATCATTTAGGGCTCCAAACCGAAAAGAACGTTATAGCGAAACATTTTCAAGCTCATGTGAAATCTCTTACTGATTTTGATAATATATATCTCATGTGTACCAGTCGAACTGCCCCAGCTACAAAATGCCCCAGCAAATTTGGTCATTCATTCTAATTTGTTCAAATTTATTTATAATGATTGAATATATGCCGTAAATGCATAGTTTTTGTCAACTTATTATGATATTATGTTCTTTATATAAAAGTTATTAGGAAGTAATATTTCTGATGAATGTTTCATCAGTAAACTCATTACTATGTATATACTTATATTTGAAGAACATAATATCAACGTTGACAAAACTATGCATTTATGGCCTATGTTTATTCATTTTAAATAAATTGGGGCATTTTGACTATCCCACTGGGGTAATTTGACCAAATTTTCTGGGTCATTTTGTAGCGGGGGCAATTCGACTGGCAATTGGACTTGATTTAATTTATGTTAAAAATACCACTGACAGTAAGTTGTTACAGGGAATGATGGAGTATAATTAATGAATCTAGTGGGTACTTTTTCCTTCTTCAGCCTAGCTTGGGGATTTCCATACCCCATGCGTGCATGTCTCTTTCATATGCGTCCGACTCGGAATGATCGGCGCACTTCTCCTGCCGAAATCTGTCATTTCACTTTGAAAACGGAAGAAATGGTGGTTCATTCCCATGTTCGATGATGCCGTGCATCCCAGGCTACGCAATACACCATCGTACCATTTAAAAAAACGACAGAAACAACACGATTTGTACTACTGTAGCGCTTGGTCTTTGGCAATATGGCGGACTCCAGACACATTTGACGTCACGAGCGGAAAGGTCACATGGGTTCCAGCGAAATATGCATAATGGCTGAAGCTGAGATTTACAGAAACTGTTTTCGCGATTAAAACATAATTATACATAATTTTTAATAGAAAATATGGGAATGTTTCTGATGACTTTATCTTTCACCCATCAAATTATTGCAATTCACTCGTATTCTCCTTTAAGATTTAGCCTCATATATGCAAGTACGTTTATTGTAATATCATAATCTTCTGCTGATTTCATTTATAACAGACATGCTCCATTATGTACCAAAGCCAATCACCATCTCTTTATTGTTTAAACTTTAGTCAAAGAGATAGAATTGTTATGAAACTAATAGGCATAGTAACAGCACTCAATGACCCATTGTAAAAGAACACAATAAAATCTTAATTCTAACAGACTCACCCGGCAGGCTCCAAGCAATAAAAACTCAAAACACCAAAAACCAACCTAATCTAATAGTTCCAATACTTCAAAGCACTCAGGATCTTGAATCCTTCGGCAAAGTAGTAGAGTTCATATAGATCCCTGCCAAACATGCTAACCAAGTTGCCAAAACTGCACTACCATTATCTAAGAATGAAAACAAAAGCCTATAAAAACAGGAATACATCCAAAAGTGGCAAAGTAACTACCAAAATTCAAATTCTAAACTATAAAATTTACTCCAAAAATCACTCAAGAAATTGAAAACATATCATAATTCTAAAAATATTGACAGGGTGCTAAAAATAATTTCAAACAGGTAACACAAAATTATCTTTCCACCAAATTTCAAAACAGTAGAAAAACAACCCTAACATCCCTTTCAGATTATATATCTTTTGGTCATAATTACAATCATAACCTTTTGATCAAACATGCAGTAGCCAGGCAGGTCCATCTGCGAAATACACATGTCATGGCAGGAGTCTTTGTACTAATGTTGCTTTAAAAGATTAGTATAAATCCAGAGTTACAAGGATTCTCACTGACATATTCTTAGTTTTAAAAAAAATCATCATCCTTAGATCTATATGATAAACTCTTGTAAACATCTTGTTGATGTTGTTTCAGATATTGACAGCTTTGAATGAAGATGCAACAAAAGCAATGCTGAGGGATGGGGATATACGGAAACGTATTGCCGTGGCAGCAAAACAGGTGTGTATTTGTCAAGTTACAGTCTGTTTGTCATCAAACGAGAATTATGAATTGTGGAACAACTCATTTTATTTACATACCTATCTCTAGACATCTCCCACCCCTTGTTTAAGATGTCAATTTGGAAACTTAAAAACATTAAAGATTCAAAATTTTAAATTTTGTTGTTTAACAAACTTACAACAATAGTTGTTGCAGGGATTTGTGAAGTCAGTATTTGTGGGTGCCTTGGACTCATACTCTTAATTTTCAGGGGTCCTGGACAACAAAATGGGGGTCCCAGACACTTGAATATTATTATTAATACTGTTATTGTATTGTGCATCATGATCATCACATTGTTACAGTAATTAAATTGCAAATAATACCATCACCCAGCTAGTAGCAAACTCAGTGATAGCTTATTGTCACTTGATTGGAATTTTTACAAAAAGTATTAGGACTTTTTCTGCGTCCCTGTGGATGAGCTAATAAATTTTGTTATGTCCATTGTCAATTTTTATGCATATAGGACGCAGGAATTCGCGTCCTGTAAATCCCTGGTTGTTGTTTAAAAACAAACAGAAGAAGTTGTTGAAGAATCTGTTATGAAGTTAAGCATCCAAGTTCACATCTTTGACAAGGGATAGGGGTACAACTGTTAGAGGAACAGTGCAAACATGCACATGCTACATAGGCATCTTAAGAGGCCTCTCTAGCCGTCTCATGATAATTCTATTCACAATCTGACAAGTTCATGTCTTCACTGAGTCCTCATCCTTGGAACTGCTTGTGTCATTGCTATTGGTCATATCTTTATGCTTCAATCATTTCCTTTTTACTGTGCTGCAAAACTTGTGAAACACTCTTGTAAACCTTTACAGGATAAGCTGTATAAAAGACCTCCTGTTCATTTTGGAAACCTGAGCATTACAGATGGTAAGTATGTTATGTTTTTGTCTCCATATGACTGCATACTGTGAGGACCCTTGAAGATGCCACACATAGCTGGAAAATGCTGAGTGCAGCATTAAAAACAAATAAGACATAGCTTCAGTATTGCTTACCTGGAGTTGCTGCCTCATACAGCTGGAATACTGCTGACTTGGCATATTTCAGATATTTATAGGCTATTGGGTAGTTTTAATATCACTGATAGGTGTTTAAAACATTTATTGACTGAAGAATTTAATATTCACTTTTGTTATTGACATGAACAATAGTGACGACATCATAGTCTCAACTGTCAGGTCACCCGATGAAGGGACCTGGAATGGTCCCGAAACGTCATGAGGGAAATAAAAATGAAGTTTAATCCATAAAAATGTCTTGGACATCTATGTACAACTTCCAAATGCCACTGGTTAGTATTACATGCATGATCTGTGGGATGCATGCATCAGTCCAAGGTCAAGGTTATTATAGGTCACATGAAACCTGACTGAAGAAATTCATGTTTAAAGGCACAATGTCACACATTTTCAACAATATTTTGGCCTATATTATACATGTTCGGGCATATGCACTCACTTTAGCTTCCTATTGATGCATTAAAAGACTTATTATCCCTTACAACTTTCCTGAAATAAATAACTGAAACTTGGAGCCGAAGAACTTCCAAACAGAGAACACTTCCATATATGGAATATAAACAATTGCTCCGTACATCGAAAACTGTCACACGTGGTGTTGTCCGTGTTTGCCAAACTGGTTTCAATCACAAGTTGTGCGTAGAATATTCATAAAGAGTGCTCCAAGGGACATAACTCTATAGGGGTCGCTCAATCAGTAGAGGGTGTGAGAGTCCATTTAATGCAATGTTGCATTAATTCATTCGAACTTTTTTATTTTAATATTGTAATCTAAATATGTAATTTTTCGGGAAGAAATTATATGGTAGCTTCCCTGAGGGCTGATAGTATTATTGAGAGATTATTTATTGCTACAGAAGTGTGATGTGATATCTTTTTTAAGAAAAATAAAATTGTTCTATCAGTGAGAATGACAACTCAGTTGTGATGAAAGTAAAAGTGGCTTTCATGATCTTTCACTTGGGTAGCAGCATGTAGACAGTTTAGTACATGGAAGTTTTGGCCTGTTTTAGTGTGGAGTCTTCATATTTGGTTCATATTTCATTATTTCATCTTGTCTACATCTATGTTTGCTACTAGACATTTACATGCATGCAATATGATGAGATTGAAGGTTATGGCCAGTCAGTGTGAAAAGGCATAAATAAAGCTTATGAACATGATGACTTTGATAAAATTGACATTAATTTGATCAACAACATACATGCACATTTTTGGCCTAAATACAAAAAATACAGATTCTTTATTGGGTCTTGAAATACTTGGTTTTTCTTTGTCAGCGAATTCACAGCAGGGACAACAGCAGCAACCACAGCAGGAAGGACAGCAACTATCACAGCAGGGACAACAGCAGCAACCACAAGCAGGTCAAGGGACACAGCAGCAACCAGCAACTATCACAGCAGGGACAACAGCAGCAACAACAGGAGCAGCAACCACAACAATCATCCCGACCAAATGGTGAACAACTGATACAAAGTGAAAATTACCATTTATCAAGTATTAAATGATCACCACATATATTTTTTAATCCAGATACCATAAAGTAAATGCAGGTAGTTAAAGGTTTGAGCAGGTAATGATTACGAAAGCATTTCTTAACTTGAAGGCATATCTCTTAACAGTTTACAAATGTAAATTTTGACTCATATAATTGCTAATATGATTGAATTTGTTTTAGCAAAAGAGGCTACAGAACAACAAGTACAGCTAGAACTGATGGAGGATGAAGGTAAATGTGATGTATTTTGTTAAATGCATGTATGCAAGTCACAATGCTTTTAGATAATTTTGAGCTGTGATATCATTGAATTTAGTTGAATCAAAATCCAGTGTGTTCAACTGAAATTTCAGATTGTCATCAGATAAATGGTTTTTGGTTGGTTTGTTGTTTAACATCGTGCTCCTCACTATTCCAATTATATGGCGGCGTCTGTAAATAATCGAGTCTGGACCAGACAATACAGTGATCGCCAGCATGAGTATTGATCTGCACAGTTGAGATATGATGACATGTCAACCAAGTCAGCGAGCCTGACCACCCGATCCCGTAAGTCACCTCTTACGACAAGCATGGGTTGCTGAAGACCAATTCTAACCAGGATTTTCAAGGGGTTCAGATAAAGGAATCAAGCTCTGAATCCCTAAGCTAATCATAACAGAATGGATCCTTTCTTTGCGCTTCCACAAATCATTTCAAGCAGGAATAATTATTATCATTCATCATGGCAGGCACATCCACTTCATGGAGATTATGTCAATACATAGGCATGCCATTTGGAAACTTTATTTTTGCCAAATTTGACTAAAGTGCAAAAGAATAAAACTTAAATTCACTTTTTCCTTTTGTTAAGTCTGTCAACAAATTTCAGTAATATAGAGAAAATCTCAGTCGTTTATAATTCAGTGAAACACTCTGAGCATCATGCTTCTTTCATCTACCTCTAAATTCTTTTACCTCTAACAAACCCTATGTTTTTGTAATGAATATGTTTGGTAAATAATTTAAAAGAGGTCACAGAAATGTCAGTGAAGTGATGTTTTTATGTTGTATGTAATTTATGTAAAACAACTAGTCCCTGGTCTCTATCTGTATCTATCCTTGCATTTATTTTTATGTTTCAGCCACAACAGAACAATCCCTGAATAATAGGAAACAGAAATTTGGTGAATCTGAGACCATCAGCGATGAGCAGTTTGTGATATGATTTGAAGTATCAACTGGACTTAACTGTACTTCTGCACATGAGAGCTGAACAAAATGTAGATCCGATGGACAAAATGCATGTTACTGTTAGTGACCATTCATACTAATTTATAATGGTGCGTGTGTGTCTTTGTGTGTGTGAGGGGAAGGGGGATGAATTGGGAATGATGATTTTAAAGGGGAGGGGGCAGTCATCCATTTGGTTCTGGATAGCTAGGGGGCCATCAATTTTGTACACGTGTACTTGTAGTGGTGGAGTGGGGTGTTTGGCGTGGAGTAGGGTCAGCAATTTTGTTCAGATTAACATAAAAAATTTATGCTTAAAAATTATGGGAAAGACCCTATCAAACATAACATACAGTCTATGTGGAAGACACCCGTGATCGCTATTGTATGAAAAAGGCCCGTCCGACCGCCCGAAACGGTCTAGATTTCTGATGGACAGTCTAAATTTACAGCTTGCCAGCCTGATGGTCTGGCAAATTTTTTAGATGTTCCATACAGCTGAGTAAATTCACCATATTTGCTGGTTAAATCTATTTTGGGCTGGTAACATTTTGAAGTTACCATCCCTGATGTCTGGCTTGATTTTTGGCTTATTTCATACACTGTCATCACCCCCTAAGCCAAAAATTATGAATGGTCCCTTAGACTTGAAAAACTGTATCTTAATGTGATCAATTGACTTGCATTTGCATGTGTTTGTAATTGGTAGAATAAGCTCAGCTTTTCGAATGAGTAAGTGAGTTAAGTTTTACGCCACTTTTAGCAATATTCCAGGAATATCACAGCGGGGGACACCAGAAACGGGCTTCATACATTGTACCCATGTGGGGAATCGAGCCCGGGTCTTCAGCGTGACGAGTGGACGCTTTAACCACTAGGCTACCTCACCGCCCTCAACATTTCTAGAACACCTGGCATGATGATTGGTACATACAGGCTCATGATATGTTGTGAATTGTACGATGCTTTAGCAGAGGACTTGTTGGCTTTATTTGGGTGTATGGCCTTGGTAATATAATGTTGTGTTAGGCTCAGGAAATCTAATATGTACATTAATACTGTAATCTTCCACATAGTGAGTGAGTGAGTTTAGTTTTACGCCACACTCAGCAATATTCCAGCTATATGGCGGCGGTCTGTAAATAATGGACCAGACTCTGGCCAGCGAGCCTAACCACCCGATCCCATTAGTCGCCTCTTACGACAAGCATGGGTTACTGATGGCTCATTCTAACCTGGACCTTCTTCCACATAGACTGTGGAGAGGGGTTTAATAAGTTGAAAGAACTTGTCCCCGATCATTTTCACATTGTGAATAAAATATGTTTAAACTAAAAATAGACTGTATGTTATGTTTGATAGTGTCTTTGTTGCTGCATTCAGTCCTCCATACATGTGACAGTCTGTAAATAATTGAATCCTGACCAGACAATCCCCTGCTTGACCTTAAGGCATTGATCCATTGATTCATGCAGTTGGGTGACAACGACATACATCAACCAAATCAGAAAAGCTGGGCATTTGATGCTGTTAGTCACCTCTTATATCAAGTATAGGTTGATGAAGACCAGTTCTAACCTGGATCTTTCAGGGCATATGTATATTTTATGAATGAGATAATAGCATAAAACCATATCAGAGGATTTGTTTTAACATAAATGGTAATATTAATTCAGTTATTATATTTTGTAACATTCATTGTTACACAGTTATTTGACAGACTGTATTTCGTCCCTAAATGTTATCCAATATCTGGTTTGGGAGAATCAGTAAGTATAATTTACAAATTAAACCGGAATCCTGTTATGGTAAATGAAATTGCCTATTCATAACATGATCATTGTGATATCATTAACATACAACCAGGAAGTTGTCACATTTTATGAAAAAGTGCCATCGGAATGCATACCACTGTCTAATATCACTGTTCATTGCCCACGTTCCGACTACCTTCAAGTCCCTAATAAGGGTCATGACTTTGGCCCTCATGCAATAGTAAATGCAGCGGGAAATTAATGTAAACATATGACGTTAACACAGTCAAGTGGTTCACTCATTGGCCTAAAGTTCACGAAAAAATGGCCTCTTTGTTATTTTTCTTCTTTGCCTACAACGTCGACAGAGAGCCTAAAACAGCAGCGCATGGTCATATTTCATCATTAAATGCTTAATCAGGGGAAAATGGAGGCATAGCTCCTGTGCCAAATTTTAATGAGCTGAATAGCATGTACGTACAATTCTGGACGAACCTTTAAAGGGAGACGAGGCTAAGGCAAAATGTTTGTCCAAGCAAAGTGCGTACAAGACAATTCTTTGTTAATTCATACTGTGTTATACATGAAAAGTTTACTGTCAATGGCTGTCTGTTTACATGATGACCGAGTTAAGGCATTACGGTTTTACGAGGAGTGCAATCCTCAGGAATTGTATCTAGACAGAGAACACTCTGTATCGTAGCCTCTCTTTAATACATATTTATTTTTGTTCATGATATGACAGGTTTGTTTATGAATAACAACTTCTTGTTTAATTGCATAGAGTAGATTCTAGCACAGTTATCAAGTTGAAAATGTAAAGAACTTGATAAGGGAGTAAGAATGTACATCAAAGCATCTCTCTGTGCAATAAAGAAGTTGTTATCTATAGAGTCATATTCCTTGTTATTGACTCGCCAACTTCTAGAATGCTCATAATACAATATATATTTATATGTTTTTGAAGACTGTTTACTGTCTCTCTATTTCAATAGTTATCAGTGAAAATCAGGTAATCAAACAATACCATCATCATAATTTCTTAAATTTTGCAGAGGCGGTGGGGTAGCCTAGTGGTTAAAGCGTTGGCTCGTCATGCCGAAGATCCGGGTTCGAATCCCCACATGGGTACAATGTGTGAAGCCCATTTCTGGTGTCCCCGCCGTGATGTTGCTGGAATATTGCTAAAAGCGGAGTAAAACCAAACTCAGTCAGTCAAATTTTGCACTTGAATGTAAGGCAATCAGTAGGGTGAAATGTACATGTATAGTGATAATATGACAGTTTGTACAGTGCTGCAAAATGAGAGTCCATTTTCAACTTGCTTGAAAATCTTATTGTTTTGGAGCAAATTGTTGTTATTTTTTACAGACATGTATGTTATATTTGTGAATTCATAAGTAAAGACATGTCATGAATTCAGTTTTGATGTCTTTCGAATGTTTAAAGATGACTTTTTTATATACCAACACTCTTTTCTTCTTTGATTGGCACTCTTTTCTTGTCAACATTTTTCCAAATAGAATATGTGCCTTGAACACATATTTGACTGTACACTGTATCTCAAACTGAAATCAATACTAAATGGAGTATTGAGTAAGGGATGTTTCTGAGCTACTAGTTGTAAGGCCTCTGATGAGTGTCCTTTAACCCCAATCAGTTTTTGTTGTCTGCAGAAAGGTTCTAGGTAATTTCATGTCATTGTCAAGCGACTTTTTTTTGACTGATTCTTACCAATGATGCTGCCTTATCAATTTACAAATTGTTTGTTTAGAAACTGCTCTTAATATTGTGTCAAATTGTTATCTCAGATCATTCAAATGTGTATTAAGCTCCTTAGCAAGTGAGGAGAGCCTTTTCTGATAGAAAATTCTTAAATTCTGCAATTTGGATAAGTTAATAACTAAGCAGCAGAGATCATGACTTGAAAGGCAACTAGGCCTTTTTAACATTTGAGCCACATTTTTACCAATGATTTCCTGTCTGTATCCAACACACATGGACATTTCCAGTGAATATAATATTTCATGATTCACTAGATTTTACATCAGGTTCTTGTCGGTATGCGCTGCTTCATCCCCTGTAGTCTTCCTGTGATGACTGGTGATTTGTCCTTGCTTGCCCTGTCAAACGCTTTAGCCATCTCTAAAACTGGTCCTATCTTCACTAGTAGGGGTTTCTTCTCCCTTTTCTTTGAAATCTAAAATGACAACATTCTGTAAAACTACATTTCGTCACATACTGTGAACAAATATTTTGGAAATATTGCATTTTCAGAAAAGCCGAAAAACAGATACAAATCACATTAATAGATGCAAAATACAAAGAAAAGAACCATATTTGGTCACATGTCTTTAGACACAACAAAAGGAAACCCTTTACAAATTACATCTTTAGCAATAAGAGAACTGTCATAATAATTCACGGATTATTTGTTTTAACAGTACTGTTAGAATGAAATATTGACATAATCAGCATACTTGCATAATGCGCACAATCCACACCCATTGGTTGTTTGGTTGTTGTTTAATGAGGCACTACGTAATATTTCAGCTATATGGCGGCAGTCTGTAAATAATGGAGTCTGGACCACAAAATCTTGTGATCGACTGCATTAGCATCGATCTAAATTGTGAGACGATGACATGTGTCAACCACGTCAGCCAGTCTGACCACTCAATCCGGTTAGTCGCCTCTTACAACAAGCATGGGTTACTGAAGATGAATTCTAACCTGTATCTTCACAGGCACACCAGTTGGCATGTTTAAAGCACCATATTATACACTGGGTCAGTAGATCAGTGTGTACTCGATTTCTTTCTCAGTTCCCAGGGGATAGCCTAGTAGTTAAAGTGTTTGTGGTCACCGGCTTCCTCACCACATGGGAAAACTGTTTGAAGCCCCCTCCATGATATTGCTGGAATAATGCTTAAAGCAGTGTAAAACAGAACTCACTCACTCAGCTCCCTGGGCAATGTACCCATATGCTACCTGTCTGGCCATAGGAGGATAATCCTCTCATTGTGGTATGCAGTTGAGTTAATGGCATTAACAGAGGCCAATTTATGCAATTATGACAGATAGCATGTTTGCATGTTTTTTATGTTGGTGAGAAATAGGTGTGAATCAATTTTAAGTCCCTGTTTTCATCATCAAACATAACAGCCAACTTATGCCTGTGTACAGATTGGATTCTATTCTTACCCATGAGCATGTTTTCCTGATTACAGCCACAAGTAAAGTGATAACCATCAATAGGGTGAATACACCAACAGGCACAGCGTACTGTTGAATAATCTTCTCCATAGGTGAAGCTGAAATATTCATGATACCTTTTCAAACCAGTACAATCTGGTAGTATAAAGTATTTAATGTGTTGAGGCATGATCTGTTGTACACGACATAATGGTTAGGATCCGCTTCGTATAAGCTACATCATAAGACAGACAAGTACGCTTGTCATGGATTGGTCAAAATAGAGTAAAATTCCAGATTTCCATCTGGTTTCGAATGTTAATTTGCAGGTATCGAATCTTCTTTCGAAACCGCTACATTGAAAACAGTAAAGTCTCCTTAGATCACGCTTTTGATACGTGATAGAACCGTGGAAAATACACGCTTAGCTTTCTAATGATAATTTCTATGGTATATTGGAATTAAATAGAAGAATAGACCAAAACAACGAGTACGATTAGATTTAGTGATTTAAACTCATTTGCCATATTGTGACATCGACATGCATTATCTACGGTACATTTTGTTTTGTTGAGGTTTCGTTTTGCAAAGGCCAACATACAACAATCGAGTTATTACCATATTAAACATACAATGTAGAAACAACATGGCCGTCCAAACCTGCAATGGTCTTGACCTTAATAATGCAAATGAGAGTGATCTCCCTTTGATCATCTCGTGAGCGATTTCTTGAGTAAGTGGGTAACATCATCAAGCCATCTACATGTACAGTGGGTAAGGGTATTCCGGATCACGGGTAATCCGGATCACTTCCACACACATTAACACCTAGAAACTGTAAACCTCGATGGATTTCTACACTCAATGTGTTATTTTAAGATGATATATTTTGTTTCACTTGATCTGAACCAGAAGTGTACTTGCGCGCCCTGTAACGAGGACACCAATCATCGCGTCATCTGTCGTTGGCACATCAGGAAAACTCATTCGGGACGGCCCGTGTGAAACAACAATAGAATCAACTTGCTAAATGTTAGCAATCCATTGCATGCATATACATTTCACCTTTTTTTTTTTACATCTGCCATATTTTTGGAGAAATAAGCAATTTATGGGACCACGTGGTTAAGTCAGTTCCGGATAGCCAGAATATAGGGATCATCTCAAAACTTTCAACTGCCGAAAACTATTAATAACTGTTGAAATAAAGTAAATATTTTACGATGTTACGTCGGTTCCCTTTATTTAAAACATATACTTACTTTTGGGTCTGTGGAGGACGTGATTTGCACAAAGTAGATACGTAAAACTTGTTCATCTTCATTTAATCTGTTTTGTAATTTGCTGTACAGAAGAGTATGCCAGGTAAAGGGTTATCAATACTGGAAATAACTAACTTGACAAGCTTAGAGGTTGAAAAGATTGTTCTTTCCAACTCATATAATTCTTTTGTTTTAATAACTTCATGTAAACTTGTATCGTACAAACAGAGGTACAGATACATATACAGTACAGATACAGTATAGTTCAATGTGCAACAGCCACTAAACTAGCATCATTTTTACAATTCAAAAAATAATTATTTGAGCGTTCAACAGGAAAGAATGAAAACTTTCGCAATTGTTTACTTGAATAGTCAGTGACATATTGACCAGTATTTGATTTTAGAATAGTCACATTTTAAACATGATGTATTTATCTATATGATACGTATTGGTGAAGTCGTAATTTACGTTCATAAATATAATGTTCGTTGTGGGTAAAGGGCTTACCTCTAATTTTTAATGGCTGAAAGGTAAATCAGCAACCAAACCTTTTTAAGTCTCCATGAGTAAATACTGAGATGGGCTAACGTTTGGAGTTTGGAGATCTATTACAGGGAACGGCAGTACCTAGTTTTACCCAAACACACAGCATCTCGGGTGAGAACACAGGTGCTGCTATGACCTTAACATCTCTGGAAGATGCTTTGTCAACACCAGTAAGAGAGAAGTACCAGAAACGTATCCACAAGGGATATGATGTAGTTGGGCTGTCTCCATGTTTTGACACTTACGAGAAACTTTATGATAAGTCATGCATGAAGACTACCAGTATCCGTGATGCAACCTCAACCACTGCGGACATATCTGGACTGGAACTCTCTGCTAGTGCCGCTACATCCTTTGATATAATTTTGCATAATTTGGTTACAGATGTGAAGCGTAATCTTGTACTTAAGGATGTAGCTGGTCTACCCATTGGTCATGTGACAAGAGGTCTTGAGGGTCATTCAGGCGAATTCTTGATGTGGGTGGCAGTGTGTTCGCTGAGCAGCTGGAGAACCTGTTCCAAGTTTCCCCCCTTGGCCTGCACCAGCAGAGAAAGGAGGAGGCGTGGTCATACCTTGTCATTGCGTGATTAACCACGGCAACAGAGACATGGCTTTTGTGACAATTAAGAATGCCCTGTTACTTATGCCAGAGGTGGAATCAATGAGGCTGGAATAGACACTAGTTTGTTTCTCTTTTGGACATATGAAGATACACACACATACAGAGTTCAAATATGTTAGTATTAATTTATTATTTTCGTTAGCTTTACTTTCAGTGACTGATGATGATAAATGTCTTATATTGACTGAATAAAAGCGTTAAAGTTCGTGAAAAATGGATTATTTTGTGTTGACAGTTCTAATTTACAAGTCAAAGTCGCATGTCAAAGTCACGTCAAAATATTAAAATAGTACATTAGGTTCACAACAGATCAGCGTCTAGTGAATTTCACCTAATTCATCAGCCACAAACAGCAAGACCCCGTAGTATGAATATGACTAAATTTCGATATAGAAGAGATGAGTACCTTAAACCACGTATGTATAAACCACAAGAGAATATTTTTCAGCTCACGATGGTACCTGGAATCCTGATACTGGAATAGGTGTGTGTTGTTATGAGCACCAAGTGTTACAGCTATATCTACCTAGCAGATGATGTTATCTACTGAAATGTTTGTTATTCGTAAATGAGACACCATTATAAATATTGTTCATGCATCTGTTCAATTAAACACGCGTTACTTTTTGACACAGCCCCTTGATGCCCCAAACGTGCATCAATAACCAAACACTGCCTCGTTTTGTCACGTGATCTGGAATACCCTGAAATGATTCGCAACTGCCGTAGTTTGGCGCAGTGTTTCTTTAGCTAGTTTTCTCGAATAAGTCAGGATCGTATCGATTTCATATTTTGACGTGAGTAACATGAAACATTGCTAATACAGAAATTGTCCTTAGGCGCTTAAGACATCTTTTCGCGAAGGCGCATGCAGTCGTTGTTTCGTTAGTGATCCGGAACTGCCTTACGCATAGTATTTAATGAATAACTTAAGTGACGATCGATATTCAGAGTATGTGAAATGTCAAGTTATTTCAAACATTCAGATTTAACTCTAGTACATTGTTGTAAACACGTTCATATTTTCCTTCGGTTTGCCACGATATAGAGCTGTTTACTTTCCGTAGCAGCTCGATATTCAGGGTTTCCTGGTCTGATCAACGAAACGCTACCTTTGTCGCTGTGGTATATTTGGAACCCATATATATATATATATATATATTAGCTCCTAACCTAACGCTAACCCTATGTGCGAACAGATTCAAAAGTAACATCGCATATTATCCCACGTAACTCCATCATATAACTTTTACGATATTGACTACCAGGTGATAATATTTAACTGTACTGGTTCAAATTGTTCATATATATTTTTTACCTCTTAAAGGTGAAACATACCCGTAAATATCCTGGTTCGAATTGTCTTCAGCAACCCATGCTTGTCGTAAGAGTCAATTAACGGGATACGGTAGTCAGGCTCCTGTAAAAGCATGTCATCGTATCCCAAGTGCGTGGATCGATGCTCATGATGTCAATCACTGGATTGTCTGGTCCAGACTCGATTATTTACAGGCCGCCGTCATATAGCTGGAATATTGCTGAATGCAGCGTTAAACAACAAACAAACACCTATAATCATGGAACGCTTGTCTCACGGACAATTACAGGAATGCTAAATAAATCATCGATATCCCACTCAATAATAAACGTCTAAATCATATGTTCAATTTAGGATACAAACCCATACTTTATGTTTTGATAGATACCTCCAAAGTAATTCTGCAAGTGATGAATTCATTCATTTGTAATCCCCCCAAAAGTATATCATCATGAAGAAAGACAAACGTATGTTAGCACTATCCCATGTTTTTATATAACATGGACAATACTGTAGAATGTTTTGTGAAGGAAAGATAAAGGAGGATTGGATCCACAGCTTGGATTATGATCTCGTAAAAGTAGGATATGGAGTTTTTGCTTGATTTAGTTTAACTTACATAAACGATGAAATAATTAAGGCCAGTTGATTTTGTACATTGGAAAACCGACAGGGTGTTTCTTCTTTCGTCGAACCTTCGACAGTATGTGTGGAATATAATATCTCCAACATGCTCATTTCCCATTCCAGTCCATTCAGTTTTTCTAAAATATTTTCCTAGTGAATAGCAAATAGGGAATAGATTTCTTGTCCGTACACGTGGCAGGATCCGATAGTCATCGAGTGGAATCCAAACTTTCTGTTACTGATGAAACAAACTGACATAACAAGGACAGTTCACGCCTGGTGTTTTGCGTACACCCATCTGTTTGCAATGTATTCATAGACAAGGGTACGGGTATACTTTGGAGTATATATATACTTGTGTTGTGAATGGCTGCCTTGTGTGGGTGGGGCTGGTAGATGGTCGGCAAGCTGTTAATCTGACGTACCAGATAAAATATACACCTGGTGGTTTAAGATTATTTTTCTGTAAACGACGAATATATTTTGAAAGTATGACTGACAAGTCACAAACATTATTGTTTTATATATCTTTTACAAAAGTGTTTCGCATGGGATATCATGAAAATCATGATTTTGTTGAATTGCATGTTCATGTTACGCGCCATCAGTGTAAAACACAGTCGATTAAGATAAATTAGTTAGTGACAAACTTGTTAAAGGTACATATATATACGCCAAGATTATCAGCAGCGGAGCCAGGACGAGCCACTGGAGTGTCGCAGGATGGGGCTTTGAACAGTCATATTGCCAGAACGTATGGCTGTACAGGGCCGACTAATGAGACAGGTCAACCAGACGGGCCAAACAACTGACAGTCCCTGACTGACTGACTGAGTTTGGTTTTACGCCGCTTTTAGCAATATTCCAGCAACATCACGGCGGGGGACACCAGAAATGGGCTTCACACATTGTACCCATGTGGGCATTAGAACCCGGGTCTTCGGCGTGACGAGCGAACGCTTAAACCACTAGGCTACTCCACCGCCCCTGACAGTCTCTGAGCTGGAGGACCGAGAGTGACCACCCAACAAGATGACCATCATTTGAGCTTTCTCCATTTGCACAACCGGATGCTTCACAGTGACGTCATCAGCATCAATAGCGTTGAGTTTCAGCAGGAACACAGATTGTGACAGATTGTGTGTTTTGGCTGCATCCGGGCATATCGTCCATTTCGGGGTATGCGATGAATCGTCTACGTTTGGCGTGAACTTAAGACCCTGGCAACATTGTATTTGGGTACGATATCTGTGGTCGTACACAGTGTTTGTGATTGTAAGTCACAATCAAAACACCTGTCAAAATATTTACGCCGATTTGGGGGAAATAACCTTAAAGCACCGAGTGTGTAGTTTCTTTAGTACATCAGTTTACTAGCACTTTTCAATTAGTCGTTTAACCCGAACCTTTCTTTCTGCAGGTCAATCGGTTCTTAGAGGTAACAAATAAGCATTCATTGACCTATTCACCCTACAAGGTGGAAAGCGGCGAATGACTTCGAACCCAAAATAAATCTGGTTTGGGACGGTTGGGTAGCCTGGTGGTTGAAGCGTTCGATTTTACACATGAGTACAATATATACTGAGCCGCAAAAGAAACGTCTGTTTGGAATTTTCCTTCGCAGAAACGGATAACTGTAAACTCATTTCATGTCTTGATTGTATAATTTTGACAACATCTCCAACTTTACCTGCGCAAAGACATTCCTTCCCAAACTCAGAATGGAACCCAGGAAATGGTCTCAAAAACGCAACCTGATCTCGGAGATGGTACGGTGTTCTCCATGTTTTTCATGCAACTCATGCTGCACGTGCTGTTCACAAGGACCAGCCCTATAAAATGCACCCCCAAACCTGGTTGAAAAATTCACATTACAACGTCAGCAGGATGCCCCTTCTCACGACAGCTCAGAGGAACCAGGCGCTAGGAAGACTTGAAGCTGGCCACACTGCACAAGCCATTGCCAATAACTTCAAGGTCAACGTTCAGACCATCTACAGGCTGCAGCAACGTTTCCGGGCCACTAACACCACAAATGATCGCACCCGTACTGGCAGACCAAGGGGGACCACAAGACGACAAGACCGCCATGTTGTGCGACAGCATGTACAGAATCCCTTCATGCAGGCATCCGAAACAGCACGCCAGACAGTGGGAACGCACGGAAGACCAATCAGTACTGATACAGTACGCCGACGTCTTAACAGCGGGAACCTCCCTTGCCGTAGACCTGACCGTGGACATATCCTCGCTCCTCGTCATCGGCGTGAACGTCTACAGTTTGCCCTACAACACCAAAACTGGCGATACAGGCAATGGAGAACTGTTCTGTTCACAGATGAGAGTCGGTACTGCGTATCAACTGCAGATGGCAGAACAAGAATAAAGCGACGACGTGGCCAGCGTTACTCAGACCAAAGTGTTATGGAAAAAGACTCATGGGGAGGTGCAAGCATCATTGGGTTGAATAGGCCTGAACCAGAGAGTGGGTCCTGTGGTGTTCCAGAACCTTGGTCCAGGGAGAGGAGGCTGTATCACAGCGGTGGGCTAAATCGACCAAGCTCTCAGACCCCATGTCATACCACATTTCGCACGTCACCGGAATAACATTTTCCAGCATGATAACGCCCGGGCCCATACTGCCAGAGCTACACGGGACTTCCTACAGCAGAACGGTGTCAACATTATGCAGTGGTCAGCCCTTAGTCCTGATTTAAACCCAATTGAATATCTTTGGGATGAAATTCAGAGGAGACTGAATAATGTCATACCAAGGCCGAACACAGCCGATTTATTGCCCCAGGCCTTTCTCAGAGTGTGGTTCCATGTGCCAATGGCTTTCATCAATCGATTGGTGCACTCCATGCATAGACGCTGTGTTGCAGTTATTGCCGCTCGTGGTGGTCACACTAGATACTGAAGTCAAGGGTCGGAATGGACTGCAAACGTTCACGTAATGTCTTGAAATTGCTGAGTTATTCATTGATGTGTCAGGATATTGTACACAAAAATTTTTTTGATCCGCTTATTGTGTCCATTTCTGTAATGATTTGATTACAGTGCTTATCTAATTTTGAATTCGTACTGACGGATTTTTTTGCTGCCGAGTATATAAAGCCCATTTGTGGTGTTCTCAACCGTGATTTTGCTGTTATATGGCTAAAGGTGGCGTAGAACTAAACTCACACACTCACTCACTCAAACCAGGCTTGACTCTGCTTAAAGACACGTTAA